CTCCTGTCTGCTGGCATGAAATGGAGCCAAGATTGGGCTGCACGATCTTTGTGTCTTCCCACACAGAATCAGCCTGCTGCTGCTGCCCTCCTCATACAGCTGGGTGGTAGAGGCCTTTAGAGACCATGGCCCTGCATGGAAGGGGCAGAAACCCTAATGAACCCTCACCTCTGTCAGAGACCCCTGGGTAACAGCTACAAACCACTTGTGATAAGTTGTTTTGTACATTCTGGTCCACAGCTGCATCTTCTGTCCCTCAGGAGCAGGTGTCCCTGCGCTGGCACGGCGGACATTGCATGTACCTCCCACATGTCCCCTGCCAGACGTGCGTCAACTGCAGCCAGGATGAGCACTTTCATCTTAGGGCTTCTGCACACAGAGCTGTCACCTCTTGCTATCAGGCGCAATTTTGTTGTCAACCGGTGGAAGAAAAATCTCATCTCCTCCTTTTTACTTCTCAGCAACAAGACAACTTCCCTCCTCAAGTAGCTGTCAGAAGTGTGAGCAGTGAAGCTGCTAAGTGCACAAAAATGCTCTCCAGCATCTGGGTCTGAAAAGGTGTGTGCTGCAGAGGGAGGCACAGGAGCAGCTAGGGCTCTTTGCATCTTTCACAGCATGGACAGGGCCTTTAACCCTTGCAGATTCCAGGCAGATGAGAGATTTTTCACCAAAAAGGTGAAAATAGCAAGGCAGATGGACAGCAGACCCTGGAGAAGGTGGGGATGGGAAGAGAAAGATCTGCTTTGCTCTTGGTGGCTGTCTCCAGCCGTGCACTGGGATCTGTTCCCTGCTTCTAATGGCTGACGTCTAGTTCAGTTGGCCTTAGCCACTGGCTTTGGTTGTACTCAGCCCTGCTGCTGATTTTTATGCCCTGCAGCAGCTCCCTGGGCCATGCTTGCCCCTCCGCACCGTGCCCAGCACCTACATGAGCTGCATGAAGCAGGGAGCATTTCCAGCCACATGCCGTCTCTAGCTTTAACCGTGACTAATTAAGTGACTGGCTGACAAGCAGATGTATGAGAAATCAATGTGGCAGCTTTCTGCAGGAGTCTAAGAACACAAGCTGGAATGGACAGCCCCAGCAAATGTGTTTTCAAAACATCATCTCCAGAGCACGATTCCTTCGTGGTTATTTTCCTACTGCCATCACTGACCCACTGGGCTGGGAAGTGCTTAGTTATTGTGGGATTTGGACTTAGGGCATCACAGCCCTCTGCCCTGGATGTTGTAATTACGAATCTGGAGTTGGAAGTCCTCCAATCTATACATATAGCTCTCCTGGGTGATTGCTGGAAGTTGAATGGGTGACAAGCTGCATAAGAACATAATTGTCTTTGTTGATTCTGGAATAAGTGTCTGTCCCAGCAGCAAAAGCATACTACGTGCTTATCATCAAGCTAGCTGCTGACTGCTGTATCAGTTGGTCGGCTGTGCCCAGAGATGTTTATTTTCGTGTCCCACTGGGCACACCGTGACTGGCTACATGCAGCACTTAGCTATTTCGGCTCCAGCTCACGTGTGGTCTGAGCACAGTGATGCTTTCTTATCCACAGGATCTCTGATCTAGGTGCACAGCAGGGTGAAGGTGGGCAGGGACCTTGGAAGGTCTCTGGTCTAACCTCTGCTCAGATGGACAACATCACAGCATGAGCAGTAGCTTAGGCAAGCTTTGCACATCTCCAAGGGTGGGGGTAGTTGGCCTTGTCCTCTCACTTGAAGGAAGGAAAAAAAAAAAAAAAGGGAAAAAACAAAAGCAGTGTTAAAAAGGCATTGCTAGGGTTCTGTAAGAGAGTTAACAGATGTGTTGTGCTGTGATGAAAGCCATCTTTCTCCATGCTGAGCCTGAACAGACAGTCAGACATGCGTGCTGGACCTGACACATCTCTGCTCCTGGACATCTGGTCCTGTCAAGGAGGACGAGTGCTCTGGGGGCCGTCCCCCAGCACGTCCTGCCTGCATCTCTCTAGAGCCGATTGCTGATGCTCTGCTCTGTTCAATGGTTGTCTGAGTCATGAGAGGGGCTTGTGCCATTTCACGTCACTGGATGATACCGTCTGGATTGGGAGTAGGAGGATTTTTGCAAGCACATTGAGGATTTGCCCAGTGACTGTGCAGATATTCGGGTTCAAAACGAATGTAAGTTCCAGGCAGGCTGCCACCAGGCACTCCTGACCCCACAAGAGAGACAAGTCTGACAGAGATAGTTGAGGTGGGAGTCCCAGCTCCTTGCATCTGTGCTGCCGCCATAGTCTGATATAGGCTTGGTCAAAAAAGTACTTGCAGAGAAATATTTCTCTGCTGCCCTCCAAGATCTGGTTCCTGCCAGCCTGTGCTGACTTATCATGCATGGACCCATCCCTGCTCGTGTATGAGGTTGTTCATAGAGTACTTACCCTTCTAGGGCATTGCCAACCAAGAGGTTGGTACTGAAGCTTTCCATGAGCTCCAGTTGTGTGTGGTGGCTGTGCTGAAAGAGCTCTGCAGTTTGTCTGAAGCAGTATGATTTGAAAAGAATGCTGTTATCCTGGTGGAGAGCACAGGGCTTAGAGCAAGAGTAGGGATGCTGTGTTCCTTAAGGCATAATCTTTTTGGGAAAGAAGAGCTGGAGCTGCAGTTCTGCAAGATTTGTTTCATTCTTTGATTGCTGGTACATGGAAATGAGCTGAAAATCATTTCCTCAGAGATTGCCTTGGCTACAGACCCAGGGACAAGCAATTTTTGATACAGAAATGCAGACACTTGTGTGGTTTCTCCTTGGCAACATTTTGCCCAACTTTTTGTTGGTGTGAGCGCCGAGGTGGATGCTGGGCCCAGATGGCTTCCATGGGTTTTGGCAATGCTAAGAGGAGGCACCAAGCACATTTCCCCAACATTTTATCCATCTTCCATGCACACAGTGTCTGTGCACTAAATGTCCGTGATGTTTCATGGCACCAGCTCCCCTGCAATAACCACGAATGGCTGGGCTGATGCAAGTGCTTTCTTTTACCAGCACAGAATGCATCGTTGGTCAGATTGATCCTCTCATGCACTCAACTGGAGCATAATGCTGGGAAAGGCAGTAACTCCTCTCCTATTGAGGACCAGGACTTCAGCTGGGGCACAATGGAGAGGGTTTCAGGGTGCTCTACAGAATCCAGGAGGCAAAATGCAGTCAGTGAAGATGATCCATGCTCTAAGAATAATCTGTGTTATTTCCATATAGCTGTTTCTCAAGCAGATGTGGTCTCGAACATCATCAGAAGGAAAGTCTTTTCTCTGGGATTGCAGTATCATCCCAGGAACAAATTTGCCTCAGCAATTTTTTGCTGATTGGAAATGCATCCAGTGAGCAGACTTGCTGTTTGTTCTTCCTAGCCTTGTGCAGAAAAAATGAGCAGTGCACGTCTGCCTGACACAGAGCACTTGCTCACACCTTGGAAATACCACCAGCCTGAAAACTTCATTGCAGCAGCACCTACTGGCAATGGGAGATTCAACCCAGAGTCTCCATATTCGAGTCCTGTTGGTGCTGAGTCCAAGCACTGGCAATAGCTTTCTTCTTCCAGTTTCTTCTTGTGAGAGAGAATTATTTTGCAGGACTCAGAAATGCCGCATGTAGGAAGGCAGAGCACACCCATAGGAAGCTTACGTCTTGATAGCTCTGCTGCCCTCAGCGTTGCCGAAGACGGCTTTTTTAATTAACTTTCCTGAGAAGGGCTTTGTTTCATATGTGGAGGGAAGGTGCAGAATGCATTTTAATGGGAGTTGCCAGGAGAATTATTGATTTGACGAGTAATGTTTCTGAAATAGTGCCATTCTGTTAATTTTGTCAGGTCCTCTGATAGCTTGGCTGAGAGCATTAGGTTTTTAATACGCAATAATTTCCCCTAACTCATCAATGCATAGCAAGATCAGCTGCATGCTCGGTAACTATTTTTCCTACGTACAAAACTGTTGCAGCGATAATTACAAACAGAACAAATTATTACGGATATTCATTCTAAGATATCATTACCCCATAGTGTGCTGCATTGTTACACTTTTCACAGCCATTGCTTGCTCTTGAGTAAATGGTTTCATTATAAGCATGAAGGGCAAACTTAATACACTTCTGACTCACAGCGAACGGCACAAGAAATCATCCTGGCTGTTCCTCTGAGTGCTTGGCAGTGGTTGCTGTGAAAGAGAGTAAAACGTCACCTCTGCTGCCAAATGCCTGTCAGCCAGGCAGAGGGGCTCTGCCTAGGAGGATGCAGCAGATGGGACCGCTGCAACCCCCTTGAACTCGTCCACCAAAACCCACAAAGCGCAAATGGAACAGCCGATGGTACTGCTGCAGATTTGCCGTGCTGGGGCTGGTTAAGTGGGGGCAAGCCATCAAAGGGCTGTTTTGCACCTAGAGTTTTTGGAGGTATCCTGACCCCGTGGACCTCCCTGCTCATCCTCTTGGCCTCTCAGCCCCTGCCTTTTGCTTTCGGCTGCGCTGCCCCTCCGGCTGTGCTACCAAACCCACTGTTTTCTCTCAGCAGCTGCCTTCTCCTGGCCTTTCCACCCTTCTCCTCTCCCTGTCTCCCTCTTCCCTCTTCCCCCCTTACTCTTGAATCTCTATTTCTTCTTCTCTGTTCCAGCAAAACGATATCAATCAAGGTGATAGATGATGAGGAGTATGAGAAAAACAAGACCTTCTACCTAGAGATCGGGGAGCCCCGGCTGGTGGAGATGAGTGAGAAGAAAGGTGGGGGACGTGCTCCGGGGCTGAGCCCAGCCTGTGTGTCCCTGTCTGGCTCACTCATGCCTAGCACCTGCAACACCGAGCTCACATCCGCAGCGCCTGCGGAAAAGGGCAGGAGTGGTGCCCCCAGAAACCCCCAGGGATGCTCCTGCCCTTCCCCGCCTGCCCCATTGGGATGTGCAGCCGCTTCCCTCCCTCCCCAAACCATCTCGGCACCACGGCGGACGTGAACTGCATGCGCGTGCGACGCCAATCATGTGTTTGCCTTTGTCTTGTGTTCCCACAGGAAATTCATTACCCTTAGAATACTTGACCGTGAGGAGTATGAGAAAGAGTGCAGTTTCTTCCTTGTGCTTGGGGACCCGGTGTGGCTACGACGAGGAGTGAAAGGTGTGAGAGTAACACCAGACCAGCTCTCGAGACGCTGCCGTCCGCTTTTCTCTGTGTCTCCCTACTCTCACACTCCTTTCTCCTCGCACTCTGGCTCCCGGCCGTTTTGCCTTCCTTCCTTTGAAGCTTGGCCCCTGCAGCTTTTTACTCTGTTTTCTTTTCTCTTTTGTTTTGGGGGGGACTCTGTCTCGCTGGCGAGGGCTCCCCCCAGTATCCAGGCAGGGGATGATGAGCATCGCCAGCCCCCACGGACATTTTGAGCGTATCGCCCCACCACCCTGCAGCTGCAGCTTCATTCAATTCAGTAGAAAATCAGTAGAATTCAGTAGAAATCAATTCAGCCTCCAGAAGCAAGCAATGCTGCATCATTTTTATCAGAAGATAAAGTAGCCTCTGCTTGAAGTAAAATACATGGCCAGAGCAGTGGTTTCAGTCTTTTTTACATTGGCACTAGGGTCTGAAAATAGCTCAGAATCACGGCACAAGCAGGTAATGCCGTAAGATGCAATCAATCCAGGAGAAATCAGGTTACACTCAAATAAAGTTTCATGGCTCTGCACTGGATAATAGCTCCTCATAGGAATAATAAAAACAATTTCCTCTTTCATTACATAAAATAAAAACATTTCTCAACCAACTACAAACCTTCCCGAAAAGACATGGCTCACTTCGTTTTCCAAGCTTTCTTTTTTTTTTCTTTTTTCTTTTTTTTTTTTTTTCTCCCAAGAAATTAACTAAAAATTAATGTCAAGGCTAATCCTCCATGCTATTGGTTGCCAAGCAAGAAGCAATTTTAGAGCTACTCAAGATAATTAGTTGCCCTACAACAGTCCCTTATGAAAGCCTTTGTAACAAATTGGCAGGAATGGTTGGCCTGCCTGTCTGGTTTCTGGGACAGAAGCTCTCCCTGCAGCAGCTACAGGGCTGGCACATACTACTCTTCAGGACAGAGAGGGTCCCCGGCAGTCCCCATGCTGAGCAGGGAGATGCCACTCTATTTCAGCCTAATATCTGGCAGTGATGCTGCATTTCCCCTTCCAAACAGGTGCCATGCAGGTCAGCTTTGCCATCTTCTCTGTCAGGTTTCATGCTGGCTTTTGTGGCATGCATTATGTGAACTGATAGGAGGAGTCAGGCTAAAAAAACAAATCAGTTTCTCACTCACCTGGTTACAAATTGAGAGTAGCTGAGAGATGTTCAGTCTTGCAGACTAGCTAGTTGAAAGGCAAGTCAGGATTTAAAGGGATGCTATTTGCTGCTTTGGCCATGCTGTGTTGGGGTTTTTTGTTGAGCTGGATTTTGTACTTGATTTTACAAGAGGCGGCGAGATGGGATGAGCAGTGCTCACAACCTGCAGATGGGAGCATTCCTGAAGCATCACCGCTGGGCCATGTAGCCACACTGCAGTCTGTGCCTTGGGAGCCAGAGACCCGCTATGCACCAAGGGAGAGCTTTTTTCTTTCATTTCAAAAACCTCAAACGTTGAGTAAGCAGATCCCTGAGCCAAACTTTGCCCCAGACTTTTTTCCTCTCATTCCATATGTTAGAAGCACAGCTGCCAGCAGTAGTTCTTGCTCCCCATTAAGCAGCTGGAGAAGGTCAAAGCCATTACCCACTGCACATGGGACACGTTGTGTCCTCCTCCAAGGCAAAACTGCCCCCGAGACCAATGGAAGATCTTGCACATACGATTCAAAGGGGACAAATGAATTTTGGGAGTGTGCCTTTTATCCCATATCCACCCCATGTCTGCAGTCATTTTTATTTTAAATCCACAGTCCCATGAAACGTTTCCGTTCCTTTATTTTTAGTGCATCTCTCTCAACACTAATGGTATCCTGCAGTTTTACAGATCTGAAAGCTCTGCCCTGGGATCTGGAGTTTTTCTGTGAATATTCCTTTTGATTTCATTATTCATTTACTTTTCTTCTTCTGTGTTTGTCTCTGTCTGTCTCCTTCACAGCGCTGTTGTTGAATGAGCTTGGTAAGCGTGCATTCCTTTTTCTTTTCCATTTTTCCAGTTTGTCTGCATATTTTCAGAAGACGATTGATTTTGTTTGACATTTTTCCTTGCTCACAACATTCTCTTCTAGGGCGGTCAGCACTATTTAAGTAAGCTCAGGTATCTGATGCCCCATCAGCCCTCGGAATAGAGCCCAAAAGTCATTGTTAATGAGTGGTAACCCACCATGGCGAAGAACATTTTTTGGGAGTGGAGTAGTAACAGGCATAGCAAACCCGCCAACAGCCCTGGGTCATGAAACTGCACCATGACTAGCCCATAGCCGCCTACGCTGACATGGCAAAAATAGAATGGGCTGGTGACTTAGGGTCAGCAGAATTGGCCAACCCATCTGGAAGAGGTGATACCTCCTGTTTGGAAGGCAGGGAGGGAAGTGAAGCACCCCAAAGCTCCTGGCAGGCTATTTTAGGTGCCAGGGAATTACAGATACTTTTGGGCAGGGTGTCCCCGTGCCATCCCCAAGCTAGAAGCAAGGAATCAGCCCCCATCCCCACGTGGAGCAGGAAAGGACCTCTATATCACTGTTGGCTGCAGAGGGCTGCTGTGATGATGCTAACCCTCTCTTTCTCTCTTTCTCTTTCTCTCTTTCTGTCTCTCTTGTTTTTGGTTTTGTCTAGGTGGCTTCACCATCACAGGTATGGATTTCTGCTTTCTCCCTGTCCCTCCCCCTTCCCTTCCTAATGGCTGTATGCTCATCCTGCTCTTTCCTCTTGGTTTCCTCTTTGCTTTTGTTCCGCCCTGGAGGGAAACTCTGGAAGGGTAAGCAGGTGGTGAGGCCACCCTCGCTCACACCGCGTCCCCTCATAGCATACCCAGCCTGCTACGCATGTGGCCCTTGGCAGGACATGATGGTTGGGAAAAGGCCCAGCGGGCCGCAAAGCAGCCCCTCAGGAGCACTGTCAGTGATGCCTGAGGCTATAGCAAGGCTCCGGCCACGAGCAGCTCTCTGCAGGCAGTGGGGCAGCCGGGTGGGAGCCACGCTAACCCCGTGTGCAGTAGGACGTAGAGTTTACTAACAGCACAACATGGGTGTGCACGGGGCATGCAGTGCCTCCGACTGATCTCTTGTTGATCGCTCCGATAGGCAAACCTGTCTTCAGGAAGGTACAGGCTAGAGAGCGTCCTCTTCCTTGCACCGTGGTCACCATCCGAGGTACCCAGGGGTCTAACACAGACTGACTGGTGTGTTTGTTTACTGACCCAGACAGATTAACCCATTTCTTCAGCAAACCCAGCCCCCTTTGGGCCCTGACTGCCTTCTGATCGTCCCCAGGGTGGGCTGGCAGAGAGCAACGTGGGGGTCTGCACAGGGACGGTGATAGAACGTCCCCTGCCTTGAGGTTGCAAAGATGTCAGCAAAGTGCAGAGCAGCTCTGTGGCTCTTGCAGTCCTGCCACTGCCAGCTCTCTCGCATCTGAGACCAGTCCATGCCCTTGGGGATGGCTCCTCACACAGTGCTAGCCCAGCTCTTCCCTCCACCTCCATGCTCTGCAGCTGCCAGGCTGCTCTCCCTCAAGGTCAAGCCCTGCTCAGGAGGGTCTCGTGCCCATCTCAGGCCTGGGGCTGCAGGCAGCTCTGCCCGGTTGCAGTGGGGTGATGGAAATGTGCTAATCATAGACCTGAAGGGCTGGGAATCATATCATCTTTTGTGGCAATCTGTACCCCCAGCAACCCTGTAGGAGAGCAGCAGTCACCAGACAATACGCAATTCCTCCACCCTAAGGGCAAATTCAACTCTTCCTGAGATTGGACAAGTTGCAAACCAATTTTGCTAGCATTTCCCAGCAAGACTGCCTTATCTATCGCTCTGTGACCTCCTTCTTCTTGCCTGCTCTGTTGCTCATGCTCCCCCCAAAGGCTTCCTGACCACCAGCTATGGGAAGCCAGCTCCAGGGAATGGCCAGCCGGGCCTGGCTCACAGGCGGGCTCTTTGCTTTACAGAGGAGAACGAAGAGAAGCAGCCACTGACCAGCAAGGAGGAGGAAGAGCGTCGAATCGCAGAGATGGGGCGCCCCGTCCTGGGGGAGCACACCAAGCTTGAAGTCATCATTGAGGAATCCTATGAGTTCAAGGTACCGCTTGCATCTCATGCCCCCCATCCTTCATCTCCTCTGGCTTTTGGGTTTACACAGTGCTGGCAAACACATGCTAATGGCATCGCAGCAAAGCAGGGCAGCTCCTGACATCACTAGGGCTCAGACAGCAGTCTGTGATCACTGTTACACAAGCAGGCTGTTTTCAAATATAACCTTGCTATCACAGCCATGCTTTACACTCTATTTACATTCAGTCTTGAGTGGACCCTGGTTGTGGAACCCTGGTTGAGTGCTCCCCCTGGTCGTGGGACTCCCATGGCAAAGGGCTGATAGCCTAAATGCAAGCAGTCATTGTGGCTCTGTGGCAAAGCCTTCCCAGGAGCATCTCCTGCCTTCTCCAGCAGCACTGAACTTCTCCTGAGCAGCACACAGAGGCAATATTCAAGTTCCAGTTATTTACAGTTCTTTGAAGAAGCCCAGTAAAATATCCTCCCAAGGTGTTATGAACAACATGAGCTGCAGCATCTCACTGCTATTTGCTGTTAAACCTCCACTGAGACCACTCAAACTCCCACTGTGGGCAGGTTCAAAAGGTCTTTATGAGTGGCGATAAGGGGAATTGCTGACACTTACATTTGCTTTCACTGCAGGGGCACTTGACCTGAATTTAGCATCTGCTAAGCTTTATCCATAAACATACAGCTGTAAGCACCAGCACTGGTGGGTTTTAGTCCAGCATCTCCAGCCTCATGGCCCTGATTCTCTCTTCTGCGTCTCCATCTGCAGAACACGGTGGACAAGCTCATTAAGAAGACAAACCTGGCCTTGGTGGTTGGCACAAACAGCTGGAGAGAGCAGTTTATTGAGGCTATTACTGTCAGCGCAGGTGAGTTTGGTCTGCGGCTCCAGGTGAATTACAGTCAACCTCACTCAAGTCTCAGATTGGCTGTAGCAGTAATATGGATCATAGCGGAGCAAGAGGAGGCAAAACAGGTGGCAGAGTTATTTACAGTGTCTGCATAAATAAGGCAGCTGATTAAACCCTTTGGTGAGATCACCTTGTCTGATGCATGGGAAACCTCCTGCAGTAAGTGTATTTGTAGTGCCCGGCAGAGAAACACCCTGGCTGCTACTGCATGGCAGAAGGGAAAAGTGATTTCAGTGAGAGAGCTTTGGAGTGCAAACATTGTTTTTAAATTCAGAGTAGCACAGATGGTGCTGGTAGGAAGTGGTACTGCTCCCTGCCACTGGTGCTCCCTGCAGTGGGGGCTGTGCAAGGCCCAGGGTAACAGGCCTTGAAGACAGCCTCTGCATCCCCCTCTGATGGCCAAAAATTTGCCCTTGATCCCCTGCATTCAGGACAGCAATGCTCCTCCAGCCAGCCATATTTATGGCTCTGCAGCCCAGTACTTCTCCCAGTTCTGTGAAAGGTAGATGTTGTTTCAACAGCTGGGGACATTAGAACTCACTGGCTGGATGTTACATCCCAGCCTGGATTCTGTGTCTGCAAGCATTAAGACAAAATCAACCAGCTTAGATTAAATCACAGTGGAAGGCAATCGGAGCCCACCTGGATAATTTGGCTTTGAAAAGGATGGGGGAACACTCGCATTTCCTACCTCGAGCTCTACTATACAGGGCAAACCCTGCCCAGCACAGATTAATTAAAAGTGATGGCTGTACCATTTACCCTTTACATCTGAAAATGAGGACAGGACATCGTGCAGCAGCTATCCCCTCAAATTGCCATCCCTCTTTTTGTAGCGTAGTTATTCTTAGAGCCTCCAGCCAAGAGCTTCCTATTATTTCAGATACAGAATGAACATATCATGCAAGACAATCCTCGCTGCAGGTTTCATAGCTAATATGGTTAAAATAATCTATGCCAGAATCAATTATTTAATTGCGTCCCATATTAAAGCAAAGATAATCACTGGTACTCGGATCTCATCTCTGTGACGCATGTAAAGGCTGCAGTTATGTGAAAGCCTCACCACTGTCGTGCCTTGAATACACAGCTACCATCAGTGCTAACAGAATGATTAATAGACATTTAATAAGTGTGGCATAATTTAGTGGAAATGACCCATCCCTTACATCTGGGAAAGAGAAGTTTGTCCCTACATTTTTGTAGGAGTTAGCTCCTCAAGCAAAAACATCCTGGAACTGGTGAGCTTATTCCTGAGCGTGTCACTGCCCAGCCTTGCTCTGTGTTTCGATTTACCTCAGCAGGATCTAGCCAGCAATTCAAAAGAGAGCCATTATTCCTGCTTAACAAAATGACAGACAGATGTGGATGAGCATTATGACAGTAGCACTCATGTTCATTTTTCAGTCTGTTTTATCATCTCCCTAAAGATCTAGATCCACAGCAGTCTTGCTGCCAAGTAGCTTGGGAAAAGGATTAAAATACCTGCTGCAAAATTACAATGTCAGCACAGCACAGTGTATCCTGCCAGTAGCAGCTTTTGTGCAACAAGCAAAAAAAGGCAGGCGTAAGCTTCCCGGGCTGAAAAAATGTTCCTTATATCCACCACAGGAATAGGTTGTTTATATTAGCCAAAATAATAATACCTGATGCTCCTGATTTGCTACTGCTTCTGCCATGGTGAGTGCAGTGTTTTAGAGCCAACCAACAGATGATTTTCCGTCAAGTTACTCTAAAGAAACCATGTTGGTCTTGAACTGCAGAAGTGTTTTGCAGCCAAACGATATGTACGATGTTGCCCCCCCAGCAGGGTGCTGAGTAGGACTTTTCCCAGACTGGTCATTGCCTTATTTAGCTTTCCCCAATAGCTCCTTTGCCATGGTTAGTTGACACCTACAAATCAGTCTTTCCCCAACATGGGTGAGTCTAACCAGGTGTTTCTCTCCAGGGGAAGACGACGATGACGATGAATGTGGGGAGGAGAAGCTGCCCTCCTGCTTTGACTACGTGATGCACTTTCTGACCGTCTTCTGGAAGGTCCTGTTTGCTTTTGTACCTCCGACAGACTACTGGAACGGCTGGGCCTGCTTCGTTGTCTCCATCCTCATGATTGGCATCCTGACAGCATTCATTGGTGACCTGGCGTCCCACTTCGGCTGCACCATTGGCTTGAAGGACTCCGTCACTGCAGTTGTGTTTGTGGCACTGGGGACATCAGTGCCAGGTAAGGACAGCAGCAGAGTTTGTTGGAAAGGTCCATCTCTGCCCAGTCTGGTCCAGGGTTTGCGTTGGGAAAGCCAGCGAGGTCCTCAGCTGTGTTCTGCAGGACCCAGTGAGGGGCAATTGGAGATGTACATGGGAGTTGTTTTTCAGTCTCAGATGAGACAGGAGGATAAACCAAGATGTGATTTCACTCCTCTGAAAATGCTTTCAAGGGTCTTCCCTCTTGCAAAGGCTGTGAAGCCTATATTTCTTTGGATAGCCTCCATAGCATTGGCTCTCAGAGTGGGAAATCAGTCTTTTATTAAAACGCTGCCAGTGCTGATCATCCTGCGCTTTCTTTTGGAATGTCTGCTCCTTTGACATTCTCTCCCAGGTGAAGTATGTGCTTGCTTGTACTTAGGGTGCGCTACACAGTACAGGCATTTCTGCATGAGATTCAGATTGATCAAGATGAGGCCACTGAGCCAAGGGGAGCTGCTAGAAATGCCTTTTGTAAAAGCTGTAGAAGGCCCTGTATGCACACATGTTCAGGGATGTGTCTCCGATCACTTGATCAGGTCATCCAGCTTCAGAAGACAGCAGAGACTGAGGACTGACCTGGGAGATATAAAAGATGAGTTTCTATTGCTGTATACCACTGTGCTGACCAGGCACAGTCTGATTCCTGGAGAAGGGGCTGTAACTCACCCTGACCATCTCCTGCTTCAGTCTCACCAGTCCCAGACTTCCACTTTAAGTGCTCAGAGATCTTGAAACTGATCTAGCACTATCAAAGCCCAAAAACCACAAGAACCAAAAGGGAGAGCAGATTTGGGCAAGGAAAGGAAAGAAGCAATTTATAGTCTTCTGGCACTATTGCTAGGTGTGAATTTTGCAGGGCTGTCTTGTAGCCTCAACATACAAAATCTCCCCTTATGTTTTTGTTGACAAAAGTTGGCATTTCGGGAATCAAGAGAAAGCGAGAAATTCTTTTTAGGATATATTTGGCTTCTTGTTTGAATTAGCAGATGCTCACAGATGGTGCAGTGTTAGCTGGGCTCCTGGGTTTGCATGTAGAACCAGCACTTCCCTATGGCACATCACGCCGGTCTACTGGACACAAAGTCTGCAGCGTAAGAGGCCAGTCAGGTTTATTACAGATCTTTTGCTGTTGAAGCTGATGAAACAGCAAGTGTGCACAAATCTGCATGGCTTTTAGTCCCTGTTAAATGGGTGAAAGATGAGCTCTTGATTACCAAAATGTTAGGCTCTGCACAAGGCTCTGGAATTTAGTGAGGGAAAAGGCATTGGAGAGAAATCATTAAAGCAAACACAGAAATGCAAATACAAACTTCAGCAGACCTGATGGCTAGAGACAAACCATTGTGGCTCCCACAGAAGTTTTCCAACCAAGTCAGCCTGTCAGTGGATGTGGGCCGGAGGCCGATACACAGTGGTATTGGGAAGGGCTGCCTTAGCTTGAAGCACCATGGGGCATCTGGGGATCATACTGGGGGAGGTGCCCCATATTTCTGGACTTTGAGATTTCCTTCCTGGGAATTTCTGGACCCTGACTGTCCTTCCTTGAGAATGTTGTAGACAAGTCTGTATCCTTAACCAATGCTTTGTGGCATCTGTCCCCAAGATGCCCTCCACCAGCTCTCCCTACCTGTCTGTTTCCTGAGGGTTTCTCTCCACCTTCCCTTTGCAGACACGTTTGCCAGTAAAGTAGCAGCAACGCAGGACCAGTATGCGGACGCCTCCATCGGGAACGTCACCGGGAGCAATGCTGTGAACGTTTTCTTGGGCATCGGAGTGGCCTGGTCCATCGCAGCCATCTACCACGCAGCACATGGACAATCCTTTGAAGTCTCACCCGGCACTCTGGCCTTCTCCGTCACTCTCTTCACTATTTTTGCTTTTATCAGCGTGGGCGTGCTGCTCTACCGGAGGAGACCCGAAATTGGAGGTGAGCTAGGTGGGCCGCGGACTTCCAAGCTGCTCACATCCTCACTCTTTATCCTCCTCTGGCTCTTGTACATATTCTTCTCATCTCTGGAAGCCTACTGCCACATAAAAGGCTTCTAAAGGAACAATCAGAGATAGTAAATATATGTATATCTATATGTATCTATATAGAGTGATATATAGGTATAGATATAGATATAACGCTGTGTATAATGAACAGAGAAAGAATAAAAGAGATTTGCCATGTTCACACACCTGCTGATGGGAAGCAGCTTTGGAGCGTCCTATGAACTAGGCAGGACCCCAAAGTCAGCTGGACCCCTCCTCAGGGGTTCCTTCTTTGCAACTCTACCAGTGAGAGCAGCCGGCAGCCCCTGAGCCCTTTCCCATTGCTCCCACTGACTCCGGGACGATGGATGCGAAGGCAACTGGGCGACTTGGCACAGGGAAGGCCAAATGGCTGGCTAGAAGTGGAGACAGTGGGCAAGGAAAGGAGAGCAAGGGTCCCGACCTCCGACCATCCTCCGTCTGCCTTCACCACTTGGGAACATCTCCTCCGGCCCTATTGGAAAGAAGCGAGAGACCAGACTGAAGACAAGGGGAAATTGGGAGCCTCCTAAGGATAGAACACAACCATTTTCATCATTTGATTTTTTTTTTTTTTCATTTTGACATGTGTACAATTAGCATTCCTCCCTTTCTCCCTGCTCCATTTTCCCCTTTCTCCATGTTCTCTGTGCTTTGGGGACGCAGCCACATGTCTGGTGTCCTGAGCTGAGGTCCCACCTCGTCCCCCCCTGGGCATGCTGTCATGGTACTAGTAACATTTGCATGAACAAAACGACCCCTACCTGTATATAACATCCTGTAGTGATAGTCCTTCCAGCTGTGTGGGTTGAGCATTGCTGATACAAGTGTTTTCTTTTCACCTGGTTTTATTTATTATAGTTAGTTCAGTTTCTCCCATAGGTTTGGGGTTTTTGTTGTTGTTGTTCTTTGGTTGTTTGTTTCCTCTTCACAGGGAGTGACAGGAGGGAAAGCTTTCCCCACTCCCTGCTCCGTGCATGTGTCCCCAAGAAGCAATAACAGCCACACGGACATAGGTTTTCTGTGTCCTTGGAGGCCAACTGGCAGCCCTCATTTCAGGACCTGACCTTGGGGCTGCTCCTTCCCCGCAGCCATTTGGAATAATTCAGCACAAGGGCTGTAAGGAGTTCTGCTTGTGTGCCACATCGGGGCGCAGCCCTGGCACAGAGGTGAGGGGCTGGTGAGCAGGGTGACAGGGAGGAGGCAGAGCAAGGGATGTGTCTGGCACGTGTCCCTTCTGAAACCAATGGAAGGGGCACAACAGGGCCACTTCAGGATGCCCGCAGTGTGTGGGGGATGTCCCCTACCTGCACTTCCCACCAGCCATACCAGTGGCCCAGACGGGCAATCCCCAGCATGCGCATCCACCGGTGAGCTCCTCCAACCTGGCTGGAACGCACCTCTGCACCATCATCCTTGGGCTGGGGTATTTGTATCCATTGTGAACAATCTGCAGGAACTTCAATGAACCTGTTGTAAGAGTTTCTCCAGGAGTCTGAAGTTTTTTTTTTCCTTGTCAATCCTCTTCTCACTTTTGAAGGGTTATGTGGTTTTCCTTTTGTTTGTTTTTTTTTGTTTTTGTTTTAAGGGAAGAATTGAACACAGATGCAGGTTGTTCAGGTGTGTGATTACCTTTATGTACAATGACTTCATTTTCATTTGTTTGCCTTCGTTGGTTTTTCATTGTGTGTATTGCCCACCACTATAGGCAGTGATCCACTAATTGTGATGATCCTTATCAATGGTACACAATGCACAGACAAATAAAGTTTGCAATGATTCCTCATGGACCCAGTAGTGCTCCTGCATATTCTCTATGGAGAACCCTCCCCTTCCCCCTTGTTGTCTCCCTGTACATGGCACCCACCTCTTATTTCTTCATCGCTTTGCCTTTGTTGTGTTTCTGCTGCCAACAAGGGCCCCCACGTGCCCGCTCCTGCCCCATGGGTGAGGATCGAACACTATCACTGAGCCTGGCCATCCTACCCAAAAACCCAAGGCTGCTTTGTGCCACCCGATCTGCCCACAAGCACTCGGCATCCCCCAGGATGAGCACAGGTCGAGCATCAGCAGCATTAAGCCGAGCACAGTCGCTCACATCCACGTGCTTTCCCTGGGCACTGAACTGTATGAGCAGAGCAGCTCTCCTGACCCAGTAATTACATCTCCTGAAAGGTGATGCTGGTGTTTCACTCTCATCATCCTTCGCTTCTCCGCCATGAACTGCACTCACCGAAGTAATTAACAAGTCAAATGGGACTTGTGCAGCAGCCTGCTTTAAGAGGCAGTAAATAACTGTTCTGCTCAAAGAGCCTTCCAGCAGGGATGATGGAGCACTGCTTGCTTAGAACACGGCCTAAATCACGCAGTTAACGCCAGCCTTGTTTATGCTATTACTCTGCCAGCCGCATGCTTTTGGGATCCTTAACGAGCTCGTGCAAAGCATGATGCCTCTTTGCCCAGCAAACCGCACTCCTCGAGACACACAGGCTCCGGATACCTCCAGTTTGGGAGGTGATTTTCTCCCTATGTTCATCACTTCGTACAAGGACAAGAGGGCAGGGGAAGGCTGGAGACCCTTTCCGGTAGACACGTTCCTCAACTATGCCAAGCAACTGGATGTGGTCTGTGAATTCAGTGTGCTATTTATTTTTGCTGCGTGCCAGGAGGAGAGGGCTGGAGCATGTGTGTTATTGTTAGGGTTATTTTTAAACGCTTGGGTATGAAGCGAGAGCGGCAGTACTGGGGGCTATGCATGTGCCTACGGAGGAGGATTGGACACCTTACCAGCCCAAAAGTGCCGGTGTGCCAGAGGGAGAGAGAAGAGGAAAAGCTTCATGCTGGAGGGAATAATTCCGGGAGAAGCCTTTGCAGGATTTTTCCACGGGCTTTGGCACCTGCGCCCATCCCAGGCAGCACATTTGCAGAGCACCAGGAGCCTCCCTGGCCTCGCAAGATGCCCAACCACACGCGCACGCACAGCTGCGGGAAAGCCTGTTTATCTTGTAAAAACTTGACTTGTGCAGGAAAGCATCCAAAGGCCTTGGTATTCTTGCAAAATGCGCCGAGGGACAATAAATACAGCCAGATTCCTCACCTTTTAAGGACTTGAGACTTCCCTCTTTTGGAAGAGGAAGTGCCAAGCTCGTCACCAGCCCTGGCATGAAGGGGTGGGAATGCTGCCGACACAGGCAGTGCCGGCTGGATGTCCGGCCTGGGGACAGGGGCAGCACCACTGTGTCCCCACACTGCTGGAAACCCCATTGAGGGGCTGCCCCCAACCCAAATGCTGTGACTGTCAGCTGGATGCACCTGAAGGCTGGGACACAGTGGCAGCGATGCTCCCCAGCATCTTGGGTGTGAGGCCAGGCAAGCAATGGCCACCGTGCATGTTTCCAGGTGGCAGTGGAGAAGGCGGGCACACTGAACCCTTCCTGCTCGCTTTTACTGTCCCTCACTCATGGGGTATTGGAAGTTCCAGTGTTTCTGCTGAATTTCCACATCATCAAGGCCCACAGATGCTGATGTTCCCCCACCTAAGCATGTCAGAGCAAACTGAACACTGTACCTGGGGGCTCGAGGTCCACTTCACCTCTTTCAGCTCAAAAAAGCACCTGTTTTCAGCATTAAATGTTCTAAAAAACCCACCTGCTCCACATTACAGTGGGCAGAGCTCAATCAAGGCCCAGTCCTGCTGCATGGTGATAGCGTGAGGCTGTTCAAAGCAGGTAGGAGACAACGTCCTTGCTGGGAGACCTCCAGACGCAGCAACTCCTGATACTGACCCACCATTAGAGCTCCTGGACCCTCACGGGACACGGGGAACACTCACAGGGACCTCCCTTGGCCTCTCTGTAAAGGCTGGATTTATTTCCTCTCTTTTATGCCCAACTCAAAGCCTGTCCCAGGCCGGTCTGGGGGTGAAACCAGCTTTCACAGGCTGCTGGCTCTGTGGTGGTCTGGTCTTGCTGAGCAGTGAGAGCTGCCCTGAGCAAAAAGACAAGCCAGCACCTCCCATATCCTCACCTATCTGCTCCACGTGGCTTCCCTCTCTTTCCCAAGTCAATGTGTCTTTGTTCCCCAATGGCCAGCCTCACAAGGCTCCTCCTGCTGCTGCTCTGCACAGAGCACTAAGCCTGTGGTGCCCCATGGCAGGAGGCTGGGCTCTACTGATAACCCAGCTCTTCAGGCTTCCCAAGGAGGCCGCAGCTCAGCAGCGTGGCCAGATGGGACTCTTTGTGGACGGAGAGAAGACAGCAGGGAGCCCTCCTCCAAGCTCCAGCCTGATGCCGGGACAAACAGCCAGACGGTGGTAAAGCCACCTCAGGAGCAGAGCTCTTGCAGCCTTGTCGGAGGCTTCCATCAGCGAGGCAGAACCTCACTGGGGCAGGAGGGAGAGCCCAGCAGCACTCCTCAGCCCTCCAGGCCCCAGTGGGCGCACCATGCCTGGCAGCCCCCAGCTCGAGCCTCCCCATCTCTTCTCTCGCGCGGTTCCTTGTCGGCTCACACGATGCAGCTACACTATTTGAAAAGCCATACTATTTGTTGGTACGACTCTTTTCGGACTGTTGATTTATATATATTTGTTGATAAAAGAGGTCATCTTGGGAGACGCTCGTAGTCTACTGGGGAATGATCACCCAGTGCTGTATATTCTGTACATGCTGTATAAACAAAGCAAAAATATTTAAGCCTAAATGTTTGCGGGGTGAGGGGGGGCCAGCCACTGGGCAACCTGGCATCCCTTGGGGTGAGTGTGGACATAGGGACGGGACCTGGCCCAAAAATGGGGCAGTGCACCCGGAGATACGAGGCCACATCCGAAGCCATGGTGACGCCGCACATCCTGTCCCCACCGGAGCCCGACCGTCCCACACACGGCCATAGAGCCTGCCCTGTGCTTTCTGTGTCGTTTGAAACCATCAGAGACAGTCGTGGCAGCCTCGAAAAATTGTGCTGAGCTCATCTATTTTTATATCTGTGGTGTTTCCCAGTTCATAGAGAGTAGTGAACAAGTACCCCTATAGCTGAAAGTGACATGTTCAAAATAAACATACGACTGCGGAAATTGTTTGTAATAATAATTTATTTGAAATATTCTGCCAAAGATAGCTCTCTTAATGGTCTGTAAGCGTCGTTTTCTCTCTTTGCTCTGAATGTCATTGTGAAAGCACCTTTCTCCCTGCTCTCTTGGGAAGACTTGCTTTTATTTTGGTATATTTAAGGGCAACAAAAAAGACCCATGTTTTGTTTTTTTGTGTTTTTTTTTTTAACCAGAGTGGTGTGTAGAGGAGCAGAGGGACGCAGGGGGGCACAGGGAGATGTAGGATGACTTCTTACCAGTCGGGTGATGGATGGGACACAGCAAAGGGGAGGAGATGTGGGCATGTGCCCCCTCCACAGTTAGAGCACCTGTGGGATGAGCTGGGCCTCCCAAACCACCCCCGAGGGATCACACTCATATGGCCCTGCCCCATCTGCAATGCCTCAAGTCAGAGCCAGGCCTGGTGTGTGTGGGGTTAACCAGGGGAGAAGCTGCCCAGATCCGTCTGCTCTGAATTAGAGATTTCTTTATTTCACGTGTTGGGGGAAAAAAAAAAACAAAAACCAAGAGTCTTATTTCCCTTCCCCGTAGTTTCTGCTCGAAGGAGCTTTTAATGCTAGAAAAACACCTCCCATCATCGTCTGTGATCCTTACACCTGTTGCACCAGGAACTCGTCCTTATCTGTACCCATCAGACCCCACCTTACCAGAGATTCGTATGGCGGAGGGGATGGGTTGGATGGGTCGCTGGGTCGGGTGGTTCGTTTTTTTGCTTCTGAGCAGACTCATAAAACTTCTTGATGGTAAAAAGCCAGAGGAACGGATCGGTGACAAAGGAACGGGTCGGGAACGGCTCCTCAGGCACCTTGTGGTGGAGAGGAGGCAGCAGTGTGGGGTGCAGGGGGTGAAGAGGGGATGTGAAGTGTGTGGGATGGAGCCCCCGGCAGCGTCTGCAGCCACGGCATCATGGGGACGGGCAGCAGCTGGGAGAAGAACTGGGTTTCTGATCACTGTGCATTTTGTTAATTAGGGAATTCAAATAGTTTTATTTTTACCAAAAAAGAAAAAAGAAAAAAAAAAAAAAAAAGCCAATTAACAGATAATCTTTATTCCGGTAAAGACAACTGTTGACTTGAGATATATATATATAAATATATATATATACATATAAAGCATATATATATATGTTATTTGAATGGTTTGTATGCTACATAACATGGAAACGTTGCGAGGTGTGTCATCCCAATGTACAAAATAAATGACTTTTCCCTGCATGCTGCCTGGGTATGTTGTGACTTGAATTAAGAATTGCCTTATGCAGAGGTTGTATGTTACCCACCTGGGGAATGGCCTGGCACTGTCCATCACATCACACGTGTTTTGGTGCTGTGTTGTGTCCGGTTCCGATGAGCTGTCCGTCATCCGTGTGCTTCGTGGGAGAGCTTTATCTTGTTAAACCCGTGCTATGTAAACCTCTCATTGCCTGAAGTAGCCCAGAGTTGTACAAATCAGTGTCTCCAGCCGTTTTCCTAATTTTATCACATTTCCTAACACGAAATATAGATGTTTGTAAATTCTTCATTCATTTTGTCTATCTTTATGTCTTCTAATCTGGCAAAAATCTGCCCCCAAACCACCACCCCTGCTCATGGCTCCTGTACCCAGTGGCTCCCTGCAGCTGGAACTGGGGATGGATGGAACTGGGGATGGTCAAACTGGGAACCGATGGAACTGGGGATGTATGTAATGGGGGATGGATGGAAGTGGGGAAGGATGCTGATCACTGCGATCCTTTCCAGCTCAGCAGGACGGGTTCCTGAAGCACCAGCACTGCCTGTGTGCGCCCAATGGTGCCAACGTGGAGACCCAGAGTCACACCTCTGGCAGTGAATGCCCACGGCAGGGCAGGGCTGGGTGCCCGGCCTCGGGCTGCCGGATGTCCCGCCGACCTGCAGGAGCCCCCGCTTCCTCATCCCCCATTGTGTCGGGTTTGGGCAGCACCTGGGGATGGGATGGGATGGGGACGAAAGGCAGCGGGAGCGGGGTGGGCTGGGGGAGAGGCCAGCCTCGGGAAAGCCGTACAGAAGAGCAATGAAAACAGGTGCAGCTTTCTTATCTAAACGTTACACTGCTTATCGCATTTGGTCCAATTTTAAACGCCGACTGCATTTGTTCCAATTATAAAGTGCATTTCAAAGCGCAATTTAAAAACTCAATTCAAAAACGCGTGTCAAAAAGGCAATTCAAAGTGACTGTTTAATATATATGTAGATTTACTTAATTGCCCTTTTTCACCGCGCCTTCCCGCACAGCCCCGCTCCCAGCCTCGGACCCCCCGCCCCTTCCCGCCCCGCAGCCCCGTTCCCGGGAGCCGCGCCCCCCCTCCTGGCCCCGCCCCTCGGCTCCCATTGGCTGCGGGGCGGCCAAGTTTCCCGCGCGCGCGGCACGGCGGCATGGCGGGGGAGCGGGCGGTCGGGCTGGTGCGGGAGCTGCAGAGCGCTGCGGGCGGGCGGCTGCCGCCCTTCCGGGTGAGTGCGGTGGGAGCGGGGCGAGGGGCGAACCGAGGACGGCCCGTTCTCACCGGGCGTGTGCGGTGCTGCAGGCGGAGGAGCTGCGGCAGACGCTGGAGGAGATGCGGACGCTGTACGAGCGGAACCAGGCGGATGTGTGAGTGCCGCGGTGGGGCCTGGGGGGGGCGGGGCCGCGGAGCCCCGTAACGCCGCCCTGTAACCGGGTCCTCGTCCGCCAGGTCCGAAGCGAAGTCGGGCCGGACGGATTTGATTTTCCTCATCCGGTTTCGGCACTGTTGCCTGCTCCGCAACCAGCGCTGCATCGTGGCTTACCTGTGAGTGCTGCGTGCTTGGGCCCCAGCCTGCACCGCCCCCCCGGCTTCCTCCTCTATTCGAAAAGTTCTAACTAATAAACTGGTCAAAAACGGCATCCTTCAAAGGAAGGAGAGTGCCCTAAGCAGAGCTTTTTCCCTATGCTGCGAGGGCAAACCGACGCTGCGTCAGCAAAGACGCCGTGTTTGCCACTCGTGTCCCCCCAGGTATGACCGGCTGCTGCGGATCCGGGCGCTCCGGTGGGAGTATGGAAGCGTCCTGCCCAACGCCATCCAGTTCCACATGGCAGCCGAGGAAGTGAGTCAGCCTGCTTTTCAACTGTTCCCCTCTTTCCCTCTCAGTGTTCCCTTACTCCTCCCAAATGATTTTTTAGTACAGTCAGGACAGCATAACTTCTTTCTCCTCCACTATGAACTTAAGACACTTGATGTGCCTTACTGTAAATACCAGTTTGTTTCTTTGTGCCTGAAGGATGCAATCCCAAATGCATGATAAGTACCAGTAATGCATGACCACTTCAAGGATCATCGCCTTCATCAGATCAGACTTGCAGCCCACAGAACTTTGTTCATAGAATCATAAAGGTTGGAAAGATCAATAAGGTCATCTGATCTGACCATCCTAGTCTCCACATGCTGCTCTCAAATGCTGTCCCTAGACTGAAGCACAGAGCTGCTTGTAGTGTTGTCAGCATGTTTGCTAGCCCAAATCCAGACTGCCCTGTGCCCAGTTTTTTTTTTTTCCCTGTAGAAGAACTCGTACTCAAAGGAGAGCTCTGACAGCACAAACAAACCAGATCACATCCTTCAGGAATGTGTCCTTCAGCATGAGCTGTGTAGCTCTGCCTGAGGGACTGCTGTTGGCATCTGCAGGTGGAGTGGTTCAATCGGTACAAGAAGTCCCTGGCTACCTACATGAGGTCAGTGGGAGGAGAGGAGGGACTGGACCTTACACAGGACATAAAGCCTCCCAAAAGCCTGTACATCGAAGTAAGTGCATGAGTGCTGGCTTCTGCCTGTGAACAAAGTATGCTGACAAATGCATAACTGGTCTGCAGGAAATGTGTGTAGTAGTGGTGAGTGGTCGAAATGGCAGTGAAAAGCTCTTGCAGCATTTAATTGGTAGAAATTTAATTATTCTTCTAAAGACCTCTTCAGATCAATTAGAAAACTTGTTCTCGCTTAAGCACTGTTAACAAGGTGTTGGTGCTTTCTTGTCATCGTTTTGAATAGATTTTCATAGATCAGACTATGAAATGTTTTATGCCATTGATACAACAAAGCAAAAGCAAGTAGAAAATGATTTCAGAGTCAGTAGCTGAAGTGCTGTGTTCTCTTAGAAAGAAAACATAGAGGCAACCAGCCTGCTCTTTGTAACTGTTTCACTGTTAACAGACTGTTTTCTGCCACATGAGGGGGTTCTAGAAATTCTGCTGTTGTGCAGCGCTGCTCTTTCCCTTATCTCTGGAGTGCCTGCTCTGCCCACTGGTGCTTCTTGTTGCAGGCAGAGGCATGAAGAGAACATCAGGCAGGGCCCTCAGACTATGGGGTCCATCAGGCTTTATACTTTCAGGTCAGGGGTGTATGAGGTGGGTAAGAATATGTCCATGCTTCAAACACATGCTCCATAACTCTTACATTGGCAGTGATGTCTGATAGTCTCTGTGTGACATTTTCTGTGGGAGGTGACACAGCAGACACAGCTACCCTTCTGCTTCACAGGTACGGTGTTTGAGAGACTATGGAGAATTTGAGATCGATGATGGCACCACTGTCTTGTTGAAGAAGAACAGCCAGGTATCTGTGACATGAAAACAAGGTTTTTAAATCCTCTCCTGTTCTTTTCCTTCCCTTCCACTCTTGTGACATAGCCCTGCTCATCCCAGTTTCACAGCATGTCACAGTTCCCCCATGTGTGGCTCCCTTGTGTGTGCTGCAAGCTGACTGCGTGCACCAGGACTGCACTTCAGCCCTGCCTGATGTAGCAGAATTTGCTGTGTAATAACAAATCCAGTCTGCCTGTCTTTCAGGGAAAATCTGTCTGTTTTTGTGCAGCACTTCTTGCCTCGCTGGAAATGTGAGCAGTTGATCAGACAAGGAGTCCTGGAGCACATTCTGTCATAAGCGTGCAGGACAGGAGGGACAGCCTTTGCTTGGTGGAGTGTGCAATGGAAAGAGAACCCTGGTGTGTGCAGGACTTCAGCCACCTCAGTATTTCAAAGCACCCTCCAACTCCTCGTAACAGCTTGACATGAATATCAGCTCCAAGCTTATGAAGTATGCAAACCATATTGGCCAGCACTTCATGACCAAAGGGTGCGTAGCAGTAACACAGTAAGCCTGAGAGTCCTGCAGTGGGTGGAGCGATGTTTGTAAGCCCCACAGCTACAAGCAGGGTTTGTGAATGCAGTTTTGCTTGGAGCAGTTCTTTGTGCCTTAGGAAGTAAGAGACTGACCAGCTGGGAGAGTTCCATAGCTGCCAAATTTAAAAAACTGCTTCAGCTTTCAATGTTAATAGCTCTTCAAGAGTCTCTGTTCTGTTCATTAAAAGCTCTCTGACCTGGCTCTTTTGTTCAACTCAGCTTGACTGTGCAGGGTGATGCTCAGGTGGTCATTAGGTGTCTCACTGAACTTCAACCATCAGGTCAGCTCCAAGAGTTTCTTTCTGAGGCTAGACACAAAGCTTTGCCTCCCATCAGAAGCATATGAATGTGGTTTTTTTAAGCTGGTGAGTGAACAAGCACTGCAGCCTGGGTCACAGGTCTAGCCCAGGTTTCTCCCAGCATGCTTGTGCTGTACTTCAGGTTTCTCTGTGGAGACACTTTTCCCCAAAGCACCGTCACTATTTGGAGGAGGGGTGGGAGATGGAGCAGAAGGTTCTAAAAGTTTTGTTAGCACAAAACTGATGAGACTGAGAAGTTGCTTTCCCCATGGTTTTCTTAGTGGAGCTGCTCACCTTCAATGGTGGCTGAGAGACAGTACTCCCAAAAGCATAAGCTCCAGGTAAGACCACAGGCTTTCCTGGCCTGATGCCCATCTGACAAAAGCAAAAAAAAAAAAAAGCAGTATCTTAAGGAAGAACGCAAGCAGAGAAGTGCCCAAGCAGTTTTTGCACTCCTGTTCCCAGCCTCAGGCAGGGAACACCCCTGAGCTAACCCTAGCTTGTGGTTTGCCACCCTGTGTGGCCTTTTATCCTTACCAGCTTTCCCAGTAGCCCTACTCTTTAGGGCTGGCCCAAGACAGGAAAAGTCTCTGCCATCTTCCACCACAACAGAAAAATCACCCCCAGTCCTGAGGCCTCCTCAGTCAGCTCTCTCCTGGTGTTGTCCCTGTCCTGTCCCTTATAGAAGCATGGCTGGAGAACATCCCTGCACTGCCAGGCTAGGAGTTAAGAGCCAATTTATCCCCACTTACTTTCATGCCAACAACAGCTTGATCTGTGTTGAAGCCCTTTTGCCTGTATTGACTGTCAGCCTCTGCGTTACCTCTCTGTTGCAGTCAGGCTTATTTAGTCTTTCTCCTGTAGCAGCCACCACAGTCCCTTGAGAATCACAGGAGTCCTTTCACAGCCTGGCACAGAGCAAGGCAAGGGTGTAATGACAATGATGTACAGACAGTAACACCCTGGGCTTATCAATAATCTGTTATTTGCTCATGCGAATGTTTGGCTTTGTGGCATCTTAGAAAGCTTATTTTAGCAAGAGAAGTACTCATTGCCAGTTTGTGAAGACTTTACAAGGAAGGCAAAATGCTGCGCTTTACTTACTATGCTTCCTTCTCTCCCTGAGGAAGTGCAGTAAGGACAGCTTGCTGAAGTATGGTGCTGCACAGGGGACACCAGCCCTGCTCCAAGCCTTGGAGATTCAAATCTGAAGAGGATTCTTCCCTCAGGTGCTCTGATCTGCTTATGGCAGAGGCAACAATCCACCAACAGGTTAGTTTGGATCCTAGGCTCAGGCTTTAGGAAACTTCAGGCTCACAGTCTCCTAGAGCCCAAGAGGAACTGTAGGGAAGGGGAGAAAAAAAAAAAAGTTCTACAATAGTTGTAGGAGACGCATGAAATTCAGAGGAGGCTGGAGATGGCAGGAAGTACTGATGCCACAATACAGAATACAGCTTTCTGCTCAGAGTACACCAAATGCAGGAACCTGTAGCCTCCTCTGCCCTGGCTTTCCAGGTACAGGCAGCTCCTGGGGAATGGCTGCCCTGAGACAACAGCACACACTGCCACTGGGACCAGCACCAAAGATGGTGTTTATAATAAGAAAATTAAACTACCCACAGGACTAGTTCCCTTGAAGGACTAGCATCTCCATTTTCTACTTTCTACCCAGGGAAATCCTGGCAAGATTAGGGAGGACAAAGCCAATTACCCAGCCAGATTTCTCCTTTCATACCTGACAAACCTCAGCCAGGCTCAGGAGCAAGGCTGACACAGCAGTGCTCCATCATACACTCAGAGATGCTGGTGTGATTTTTTCAATAAGCTTCTTCAAGGCCAAGGCCTGCTCCTCCAGCATGTGGTTCTTCTTCTCAGTGCTCATTTGCTTCAGTTCAGCTGCCTGCAGGGCCATTGCAAACCCTCTGTTTTCTTCACGGAGGTCTTTAATCAGCAGTTTGTTCCTGGAGAGTTGGGCCTGTGGTACAGACAGGAGGCTTAAGGTTCAGCATCCCTCCACAGAAGTTCCAGCCCAGTAGAGAAAAGTGGCACCAGCACCTCCTGCACTCACCTGTGCATCCTTGAGGCGAGCTGCCCTGTCTGCAAGCGCAGCTTCAGCACTCCTCAGGTCACACTGCAACCCCTCTGCCTGCTCTACAGCTGCCTGCAACAGGCGCTCATGTTCTTTCTTCAGCAGGAAACAAAAGCCTGATGTTATGTTGGGCTGTCCTGGGTAATGTGTACATCCCACCAGGTCCCAAGCACACTCCCTGAAGTGTGAATGGGGGAGCAGTGGAGTTCTTGAAAGATGCAAAAAGCCGGGTGGGGAGAGCTTAAGACCAGCACCACCTTCCCTAGTTCAGCACCAGTCTGTTTTAAAACTCAACACCTTGTTGACTTGGTGCCCTACATTTAAAGCCAGCCTACTCTGTGCGTGTCCATGTAGAGGACTCAAGCTTTCTTTCCACAGCCTAAGCCAACACAAAGTGTCTCCCTGAACGGTTCCTGCCCTCTAGGTACAAGGTATCTGGTCTGAGGTAGATGAATAGAAGTGGAGTGTACTCCTGATCAAGCACAGGGTGGTGACAAAATTCATGAGGAATGAAAACTGCAGCTGGAATTTGAAGATCAATTGCATCTTTCAGGTACAGAGTTTTCCACCCAGTTCTCTGGTGCCCTTGACCACAGCTCCATTCTAGGCTGGTAGTGCTCCCTCTCTGGTACCCTTGACAGAGCTCCTGCAGCTCCCTGCTTACCTGGGTCCTGACCAGCTGCCTGCATGCCTGCTCAGCCTGCTGCTGGAGGTTTGCCTGGAGCTGCTGAACCTTGCACTGTTCCTCTCTCAAGCTGGCTTGCAGCTCTTCAAACTGTTTCCTTGGCACCACATTGTTCAGCTGTGCCTTGGCCTGCTGCAGCTGCAGTGCATGCTGAGTCTGAGCCAGACTCAGGCTTGCTTTGGCTTCAAAGAGCTGCAACAGAGAAAGGTTGCCAGTTACAGCATTGTGCCAGCAATAGGACAGGTTGAAGTGTGCTGCACATAAAGGGAGGGCTTAAGCAGCACACTCAGACCCCAGGTCTCATGTCATCATGGCCACAGCAGATGAGTAGACAGTGGTGCTTAAAAGGCAGCCTGCAAAGCCACAGATTGACAGTGCTGGGAGCTGCAGAAGGGTGACTCTTTGTAGCCCTCAGAAGACAGTCTTTTCTGTCTGGGGAAGGTGTTCAATACAGCCCTAAGTGGGGAAACACCAACATCACAAGGACCACTCAGCTGCATGCTACCTTGTCAATGACCAAACAGCACTTACTTCCTCTTGCGATGCCTCAAGCTGCTGCTGGAGCAGCTCCATCTCTGACCAACACACTGCATGCTGCTGGCAGTGCTCTGGCCTCAGGACCATCTCCACTCCTTGTACTTCCATGAGCCTCTGGTTCTGCAGCTGGGTGGACCCAGTGCTGGCGCTGCGGCTGGCCTCATGCTCCAGGAGCTCATGGCTCAGCTTACTCACCTTGATGTTCGTCTGGGAATTCTCCACATTGCTCTTTCCACTCTGTAAATAAAATAAAATAAAATCATGCACAAACAGAAACTGCTGGATCTCTACGTAGGAACACTGCTGTCACCACAGGGCCTTGCGTGCACCCAGAACAAGTCTAGGTGCACCCAGAACTCATTTTCCAGCCTGAACCAAGCCCCGAAGCCAAGAACAACCTTATACTTAGGAAAACCTATACAGATTACAACCCTGGAAGAGGTTGCTGGAAAAGGAAGAGAGGGGGTTCTAGGGACTGACAGTAGAGCCATGTAACAGAAATATTAAGATTGGCATCAGTGCAGTATGAGTGGGCTATCATAATGGAAGAAGGGCTGCAACTTCTATCAACACCAAAGGGCACCATCCCCTTGACATTCCCAGGACATCACACTCTCAGTAGCAATGCTGAGCAAGGTGCAGTTTCTGTGGTTAACGTGTCAGCAGGAAGCCTGCATCTACTACCTATCTCCCAGCATACATCTCACGCTTCCCTCATTCCTGTTAGCTTCTCAGGAAAACAGGTAACAGACATAGCTTTCTTCAAATGGAGGAAAAGCGTGCAGTGTACCTGGGCCTAAGGCTTATGGAAGCTGACCTCAGCAAGGGTCAGGAAAGGACCACCCTGTTGCAGATGATGGCCTCTGTAGTGGAAATGCTAAGTCAGGGCTTGAAGCAGTGACTGAGCACCTGGTGGGAAGGCAGGGCCAACCCAGGGCTCAGGTGCATGCAATACTCGTGAGTGACCGAAAGTGGTGGAGCCAGGATCCACCCCTTCCCAGACCTCATTTAAAGGCCAGCAGTGAAAGTAAAGTGACCATGCTGGAGACCTCTGCCTGCTGGAAGCTTTCCAAAGGTTAGAAGATTTTTTTTATTCCTTTATTTCCGCATCCATGGCTGCTGCATTTGGGCTTGTTCTCTTTTACTGCAGGCTAGGATTGTGCCACCCTGCTATTATTGCTGTACTTTTCATCACATTACAGCACTACACCATTACAGACCCAAACAGTGAAAAAGATATTTCCAGAGAACAGCTTGCAATTATTAGCCAGGAAGAGTCCTAGAAACAGGGTAAGGACTTGAAAACCTGCCACCCTCAATCACGCAAGTATTCTGACCAAGCCTTTTGCACCCACTTGTTCACAGACTTGGGAGCATGAGTGCTTGAGACTGGGAATGAGCAGGAACTCAGGGAATGAGTGCAAGTGCTTAAAACTAATCTTTTCAGAGATTTAAGTACCATCTTTCTCTTCTGCAAAGACCTTCACAGGCTCTTGTCACATATATTTTCCCTCCTTCATATAGTTATAAAACAAAGCAGTTTCTTTCAAGTAAGGTTAATTTGGTTGCTTGAGATAAGACATTTGCATCTTCCCCTATAGGCCCATGCAGTCTTTGTCCTCCTAAACCCCACATCCAAGAGTTTGTCAGTTAGTGTTAATGGCTTCTTACCGACTTCTTCAACTTTACTGCTACAGCCAGCTTTTCTACCTTCTCTCTGCTCAACTTGTTCATGTGTTTCCTGTCAGGGAGAGGGAGATGATTAGCTTCGTAACAGAAAGCAGCAAACACAGCCCCTGTTTTGGGGACCCAGGCAGCTGATTTTGGTCTGCAAAAGGAGACAAACCAGGCCAAAACAGACGTGGTCCTGAACTGATTCCAGAGTGGGTGTTTCAGCTCAGGGCAGAGAGGTCTTACAAAAAGTGTTAGAGACCTAAAAATCAGAGTATGAAGTACAGTGGGGAAGCCTGGCTCCCTGATTTATGATTGAGTGAGAAACACCAATATCTATCCCAAGCTTACAAAGGCAGCGGTTGGCCACTGATAAAAATGTTTGTGTAAACAAAAATCTCATACTTTCCACACTCAGCACACCTCTGCCCCCAGTGTCTTCTCCAAATGCATCTCTGAATGCTGTCCTCTGGCCTTCCCCAGCCTTTGGCCAAGTCTGATCCAGCATTATCTGCTTTTGCATGAAGCGAAGGGGGTGAGAGTGCTGGCTTATGGAAACGAGCAAACAAAAGGCAGCTTGGGACAGCTGAAATTGGGTAAATGCATCTGAGCAGCAGTCTCTTTCACAAATATTAGCTAGCTACCCATTTGCCAGCCTTCCCACAGCTGGCTCCTCTCTTACTCGTCATGTCTGCTGCACTTCTCCTTAGCCTCCCTCAGCTCTTTCTGGAGTCTCCCAGGTTGACTTTTGAGCAAGCTGTTCTCCTCCAGAAGCCAGCCCTGCTCTCCCCTGCAGGGAAAGAGAGAGAAATGAGAAAAATCACACAAAAACCATATAAAAGCATATTGGCATCTCTATGGGAACTGCTGAGTCATGGCCTGAACCTCTGATTGATCACCTGAGGCGAGCAATGAGTCAGTCCTGGGAGCACAGGTGAAAGCAATTCACCTGTGCTGCAGGAAGGGGTGGAGCCTGGCTGCACCTCTCCTAGACCCATTTAAGAGCTGACTACCAGTGGGGAAGGATCTCTCTTCTGAAGATCCGCTCCACTGGAATTTTCTGAGCGAGCTCAGGATACGGGTAAGCATCCTATCTGTTCTCTTTGTCTTGCTTTGCCTAACTCTTTTGTTTATTTCATTATTATAACACCTTAATATTACTTGATTATACAATATTTCTTTATACAATTTTCCTTGATTATACACTATCTTAATATTCTTTGATTATACACTTGGTGAGCCAGGCAGGCAAGCTGAATATACTAAAATTTACATCATGTCCTTTCTCTGGAATTTCTACAAATAGTTCAAGGGGGAGAATACTACCCTCCTAGATAAAATGATTCTAGGGCAGATCCTAGGATTTGTGGGGTCTCCTTATTATGAACTGGCAGTTATCATGGAAAATGGGGTCCCCTACGTGTTGTGGGAAACATCTCCCCATATTGCCTGGCAGATTATTTTCAGGGACTAGGCAAAGATATATTAGTCACAAGAGAAAGGCAATTAGCTGCTTCTACAGTGGCATGGACACTATTAAATGCTTTAAATAATGCTGAAATGAGGAATAATACTTTAATGAATGAAAATGAACTTTTGAAAGATCGTATTGAAAAGTTAGAACAGGATCTTGGCATATTAACAGGAAAAAAAACTCTACACCTTCCGATAAGTCAAGTTCATGACATCTCAATAAACAATGACCAGGCTCCTGAATCAACAGACTGTGCTGATCAGGAAAATAAAAAATCTAAATCAGATCTCGAATCTCCGATTTTGACAGATGCACTAGAAGTCCATCCTGTTATAACTCAAAAAAACAAAAGTACAGGACAGACCAGCAGGGATGCCACCTGATCAGTGGCCCCCCGCCCAGACTCACTTGCGTGTAACAGCCCAGCCGTGCACGGCAACAGAACTGATGGACTTAGTACAGTGATTTAGGCAGAAACCTAGAGAAAGTGTGCCAGACTGTGGGATTCTGGGGCAGAAAGTGTTTTGGTGAATGGCCTGGAAATAGCCAAATTGGCCACTATGACTGTCCATCCTGCTCTCAAGCAGAGGTTATATGCAGGTAATCAATATATTGATGAAAACCATTCTATAATAGAATGGTTAATGGCAGCCTGCCATATGGTATGGCCCAATAAATCTGATATTCCTTTACATACAGGGATGTGGTCCTCCATAGAGGACCTTCAAAATTATATCCGTGAACTAGGAGTAAGGGAAGCAATTTATGAAGACACATTTGATGGCCCTGATATGGTCAAATTCTCAGCAGGGGTGAGAGACCTAATTCTACAACAAGCTCCCTCCCATATGTACGGTACTTTATTAAATCCCCTAGTGGCCTCAGAAGCAGTAGTCCAGCAGGCTGCACAGTTAGTGGCTGACCTAGGAGAAACAGAATGCCTGAGGAATAGGCGCAATATTCGGACATTAGAAGAAGCTGAGGTCTTGCTGGTGACTAAAACCAGAATGCCGGCCACTTGAGCTCCTCAATTGGGACCCATAAGGGTCTCCCGAAAACAAATGTTTAATGATTTAATTCAGGCTGGGGTCCAATTTGCTAAGATTGACCATCAGCCCAACCATGTCCTTCTCCAACTTTGGAGACAACTAAAGGACAACCAAAAATTTCAGACCTACCCTAAGAAACCAAGAGTAAGGGTTATAGAGAGGATGCCAACAACGACATGGAATTTAAAAGATTTCATTGTTCCTAATAGAAAAAAAAAAGCCACCTCAGGTGTCTTGGGCTACAATGCCAGAGACACCAGAAACAAAAGAATTGGCCATAGCTCAATTCATGGCGTGATGAAGGATGTTAGTCCCCCTAGGGCCTCCAGATGGGATCGGAGGCCCTATGTAGAATTAACGATTTACTGGTCCCAAAAAAATATTCAAAGAGACATGGCATTAGTGGACACTGGAGCAGAAACATCAATTATTTACGGAGATCCAAACAAATTTGATGGGGACAGAGTGATGATTGGTGGTTTTGGGGGACAGACTATTCCTGTCACCCAAACATGGTTGAAACTGGGGTTTGGGCATCTCCCACCCCAGCAGTATAAGGTGTCTATTGCCCCAGTCCAGGAGTACATTTTGGGCATAGATATTCTATGGGGTCTGGCTCTCCAGACAACTGTGGGAGAGTTCAGACTTCGACAGAGATGTATCAGTATCCGGGTGGTGCAGACAATATTAAGAGGCCATGCGAAACGTGGGCCTATTTGCCTGCCGAAACCGCGCCAGATTACTAATGTAAGGCAGTATAGACTCCCGGGTGGGCAAGATGAAATATCGAGAACGGTGCAGGAATTAGAAAAAGTGGGCATTATAAGACCTGCACACAGCCCATATAATTCCCCCATATGGCCAGTGCGAAAGTCGGATGGCAGGTGGAGAATGACGGTAGATTACAGAGAATTAAATAAGGTCATGCTGCCTATTCATGCGGCCATACCCAATATTGCCTCCCTAATGGATACATTGAGTAGGAGATAAAAACCTATCATTGTGTCCTAGATTTAGCAAATGCGTTCTTCAGTATCCCAATTGCTGAGGAATCGCAAGACCAATTTGCGTTTACGTGGGGAGGCAGGCAGTGGACATTTCAGGTCCTGCCACAAGGGTACGTGCATTCATCAATGTATTGTCACAATCTAGTGGCGCGTGACCTGGCTGATTGGAAAAAACCTGATGATGTTAACCTGTATCATTATATTGATGATCTCCTGCTGACATCCAACTCACTGGAGGCAGTAGGGCAGGCGGCAGATTCATTAACTGCCTATTTACAACAGAGGGGATGGGCTATAAATCCCCAAAAGGTGCAAGGTCTGGGCCTGTCTGTAAAATTCCTGGGGGTGGTTTGGTCAGGAAAGACCAAAGTACTCCCCAGTGCTGTCATAGATAAGGTTCAGGTGTTCCCAGTCCCTACAGCATCGAAGCAGCTGCAAGAGTTTCTAGGTATACTGGGTTACTGGTGTTCCTTTATACCTCACCTAGCGCAGCTGCTAAGGCCGCTGTACAGACTCACAAAAAAGGGGCAGCTGTGGGACTGGGGGAAAACAGAACAGGATGCTTTCCAACAGGCAAAACTGGCAGTTAAACAAGCCCAGGCATTGGGTATATTTGATCCTACCCTCCCAGCTGAGTTAGATGTTCACGTTACTCAAGATGGCTTGGGTTGGGGCCTGTGGTAACGCCAGAGTTCTGTTCGGACCCCCACTGGTTTTTGGTCTCAGGTCTGGCGTGGAGCAGAAGAAAGATACAGTATGACTGAAAAACAGTTATTGGCTGCCTATTCAGCATTACAGGCAGTAGAGCCAATAACCCAGACAGCTGAAGTTATGGTGAAGACCACTCTGCCGATTCAGGGGTGGGTGAAAGATCTGACCCACCTTCCTAAGACAGGGGTGGCCCAAGCACAAACAGTGGCACGATGGGTCGCCTACCTCAGTCGAAGGAGCAGGCTGTCTTCATCACCCTTGAAAGAAGAACTTCAGAAGATCCTAGGCCCAGTGACCTATCACAGTGATGCACCAAAAGAAACACTGGTCGCTCCAGTGATGGTATCCTGAATACCTGTACAGACAGTTGGGCTGTGTACCGGGGGCTCACTCTTTGGATTGCACAGTGGGCCACCCAGGAATGGACTATCCACGCCTGACCAATCTGGGGCAAAGACATGTGGTTAGACATATGGTATACAGTCAAACACAGGACTGTATGTGTCTACTGTGTTTCTGGTCATCAGCCCCTACAGTCACCGGGAAATGATGAAGCTGACACGCTGGCCCGAGTTCGATGGATTGAGAATTCACCATCTGAGAACATCGCTCGTTGGTTACATCAGAAGCTATGGCATGCAGGACAGAAGACAATGTGGGCAGCTGCTAAAGCATGGGGGCTGCCCATACAGCTACCTGACATCGTCCAGGCATGCCAGGATTGTGACGCTTGCTCTAAGATGAGCCTGAGATCATTGCCGGAAACGACAGTCCATCTTGCTAGAGGACACAATCCTCTCCAGTGATGGCAGGTCGATTACATTGGGCCCCTTCCTCGGTCTTTGGGGGCGAGATATGCTCTGACCTGCGTCAACTCTGCAAGTGGGCTACTGCAGGCCTATCCGGTACTGAAAGCAAACCAGGTGTAAACCATCAAGGCACTGACTAAACTGATGTCTGCCTATGGGACACCCCAAGTCATCGAGAGCGACCAAGGGACTCATTTTACTGATGCAATGATACAGTGCTGGGCAGAATAAAACAACATTGAATGGCAATTCCACCTGCCATATAATCCAATGGGGGCAGGCCTCATTGAATGATATAACGGTATTCTTCAGGCTGCCCTGAAGACAGACTCCCAGTCCCTGCAGGGGTGGATGAAAAGACTGTACAAAACCTTGCGGGACCTGAATGAAAGACCCCGAGACAGCAGACCCAGTGCCCTGAGAATGCTGCAGACAACATAGGCCACCCCACTTAGGATCCAAATTACGGGCACTGATTATCAGGTAAGACCCCAGATTGGTAACGAAAATAATCTTCTGCTCACTGCCCCTGAGAATTTAGAACCAGGCACCCATAGAATAAAATGGCCTTGGAAGGTGCAGGTAGGACCAAAGTGGTGTGGCCTACTTGCACCTTGGAGGATACTGTTGGAGGTGGGAGGCTCAGTAGTTCCTCCAGTAATAGGTACATGGCCCACTGATATTGTGGTCAACACTCCGATCTTCATTGCTAAAGGGACCCCCATCATGTCCCTATGGCAGATCAGGACACCTCCTTTGGTGCCTGACATAGTTATGCAGCCGCAGACATCTGGCCAGAAGGTGTGGTACAGGCAGCTGGGACATGCCCCAGTACAAGCCAAAGTGTTGACCCAGGATAGAAATACGGCCTGTATCTTGCCCTGGAGAGCAGACCTTCCCCCTCCTGGTACCCCTGAAACATCTATATTACTCCCTATGAGTCTTTGAGCCTTCAGGATCACCAGAAGGAATGAAATGCCATCAAAGCATTCCAGTGTTACAGTCAGATCATGTGCAGCACCTGGTGAAGGCCTACATGGGACTGATGAAAGACGGACCTGCACCTCATGACCACATGCCTTCACTAACATCATCGAGCACAGGTCCATAAAAGAATATCAGCATTCACCAATTGTCACTTGTCTGAATTGTACCAACATGCGTCGCGATGGAAATTGTATAAGCATCGTGATACAGCAGGTCTCTGTATCAGGAAAAGCTTACCCTTTAGTCAACCTGATCATTGGTTCATGCTGTGAAGGGGTGGAGTGTATGGGAACTGCTGAGTCATGGCCTGAACCTCTGATTAATCACCTGAGGCAAGCAATGAGTCAGCCAGGGAAGCACAGGTGAAAGCAATTCACCTGTGCTGCAGGAAGGGGTGGAGCCTGGCTCCACCTCTCCTAGACCCATTTAAGAGCTGACTACCAGTGGGGAAGGATCTCTTCTGAAGATCCACTCCTGGAGTTTCCTGAGCGAGCCTGCGATACAGGTAAGCATCCTATCTATTCTCTTTGTCTTGCTTTGCCTAACTCTCTTGTTTATTTCATTATTATAACACCTTAATATTACTTGATTACACAATATTCCTTTATACAATTTTCCTTGATTATACACTATACAGCATCTTACACTGTCATCCTTCTCTGTTCCCATCCATGTTATAAGGACAGGAAGAACTAAAGAACTCTGAGAAATATCCATCCAATAGCTCAAGCAGAATGCATAGGGAGAATCAAAGAACTGTCAAAGGTGGAGAAAGAGTAGTAGGTCTTGATGGAAGGAAAATAAAAGAGAATAAGGACAAATAGCATAAGACCCTGAATTTATGTGGCTTCCAGCTGACCAAAATCTGTTTGCAAACCTGTTGGCCTGGCCCATGAAGACATACCTAGATTTCTGCAGAACATCTGAGTGTAATAATGTCTGGAAAAGCCAGCTTGTTTGTGATTTTACAGTGCTGGGGGTGCTAGCTATGAGACCATATGCAAGGAAACGTCTCAGCCTCATTGTCTTTCCTCTCGTTCTAGTACTGTTAGCCTCCCACGAGGCCACAAATACTGGCATCTGCTGAAAGGCAGGTCAGCCCTGTGTTAAACAGCACAGTACTATCCAACAGTTAGTGCTATCTCTAGGTCACTACAGGCTCCACATTCCTCTGCAGAAACGAGCATGGGAGAAGAGCCTATCTATCTCAACATGGAAGACAGCACTGCAGTCTTTGTCACTTAATGTGAGAGGCAGAGGAGTTGAGCAGGGAAGTTCTTGCTCTACTCCCCAAGCAAGCAAGGAGTACTAGTGCACTGCCTAGTGTTTGCTTCCCCCTGCTTAGCAGGATGCTCCACACAGCAGCCACTCTCTGAGTCAGTTTTACATCAGGATTCACATGCTGCTCTTCCTGTGGAATCTCCAACACCCACATACAGCTGTACAAGGCAGAGGAGACAAGTGCACAGTCAGCCAGGGCCGTGTGAGCACATCCCAGCTCTCTGACCACATTCCCCCAGTTAGGAGAAGATGTGGGGAACAGCAAGCCAGAACAGAGCTGCTGTCAGCATCTTAGACCAACATGTTAAGCAGCCCTGTGTTACACAAGACATCCGGCCTTTTTTTGCTGCCACAGCACTCAGCTCTGCAAACTGCCTGAGAGCTCAAACCCACCACTCTCTTGAGGTTTGGGGATCATTTTCCAGCTACTGCACAATGTCCTTAGACTGCATCAGCTGCAGCTTCAGTCTGTTCCTCTCCCTCTGCAGCTCCATTTTGACAGCCTGACTGTCATGTTTCCCCCTGTGCTGCTATGTTGCTCTACCTCCCTCCAGATCACATCCTGCTGCCCCTGCTGGGTGAAGGCAAATCTATCTTTGCTTCCTCTGTTTCCTTCCCAAACACAGCCCCTTGTCTATCAAGATTTTGTTTCTCCATGACAAGTGCATTCAGCTTTGGCTCCAGCTTCTGGATTGAGCAGTCCATTTGCTGCAACAGACATCTGTACCAGCCTATCAAAACACCTTTCATTTCTTCTCTATTCCTTTGATGCTGAGGTTGCAACAGGAGTCTCTGGTCTATTTCCCCGAGTCTTGGGTACATGCTCCTTTCCAACTGGAGGGCAACTCTCCAGCTACATCATCCCTTCCTCAGCCTTGTGATTTGTACATTATATCCATTCCATCATTCCTGGTGTTTTTTGTTGTTTTAGCTTGTTTTCTTTCCACCCTCTTAACAGCCACCATTTCACACATTTTAACTTGCCTTCTCTTACATCTTACCCTCCACAAGGGCACTGCATCCTTTTCCTTCTGGACTCATCACTGCCTTTCCTGGGCACATTGCTCCCCTGCAGTCTTTACCATTGAGAAATCACTTCCTCTCACAACAGTGCTGCTGCTACACTACAGCTGCCTTCACCCTGACATTCACTCCATTACTGCTCTTGATTACATTCAACCTCTGCATCTTTCTGAAAGATAACTAACATCTCTCTGACCTGGATTTGATAGCACACATGGCAGGCACAGCTTGAAAAGCTCAACCAGCCCTGGAACACGTTTTTGCTGGAGAGACAATACAGTTTTCCTTAGGTTGCAAAATTTATTAAATATTACAGCAAGCTCCCACACCAGTGTGCCCTATAACAGAGAGCAACAGAGAAGCTGTCCACCTGCATATTGTGAAAGGGGTCTCAGATGCTGAAAAGAGGCAGTGGAGACGCACAAAGAGACAGCAAGGCAAAAGGAAACAGGGGACAGAGGTAGGGTGCACTGGGAAGTAGGACAGGGTAGGCATGAACAGTTTCCTCCACAATGTTCCTATTCTTTCCTCTTTAGTCCCTTTCATGAAGCCAATCTGACCCCTAGGAAGGTTGCAGAATTGGCATCACAAGCACAGGAAAGGAGGATGATCGCCTATTCACGGAATAAGTCAGTCAGTTTGTTTTGGCCAAAAAGAGAAATTTAGGCCATCTTTTGTTCCTTTTCAGACAGCAGACTGTGATGATCATCAAGTAGCAGCAAGTTTGCTAAAGGACCAAGAAAGAGAAATATCATATGAAAACACTGATAAAAACCATCCTGTTTCCCTCTCTGTTGTTAGGTACAGTTTTTGCTGGGCACTTCCTCTGACACATCTGTACAACACAAAGGGAAAACTGAAGTCTTCAAATAAAAGCAGTCATGTAAGAGGAATTCAGATGTCCCACTTCAGACTGCTGTATCCTCGCCCTAATGCCTAGATTCTTTTTTCCCGAATTGAAGCAGCTCTCCAGCCTCATAAGAAGTTTCCCTGGTCCATTCTGGTATGGGCAGGGGATGTATTCACCCTCTCTTGCCCACTTAGACCCAAAAAAAGAACACCATACCTGTTGTTCCCTCTGTTCCTGCACTGTGTTCTCAGCTCTTCTCCTTCCTGGTTCAGCTGCTGCCTTGGATGGCCTGTGCCTTCAGTGTGCTGAAGTTCAACCCTGGCCGGCTCCATCTCAAACCTCTCCTCCAGCTCCAGGCTCTGCACACCTTTTTGCTCCTTCATGACATCAGTTACAGCTTGGTACTTTGAAACTGTTTCTTTCAGGTCTTCTTCCTGGTCTTCCACCTTGCTCATCTCAGCCTTGACGTTTTCCTTGCTGTCCTTCTCCCTTTCAAAGGTTTTCCTCATTAGCTCCATTTCCTCCTCATAATAGTTTACCTGTTGGAAAGAAACAGGGTTTGGACATTAGCACTGTGCTCCTGATGGCCCCTCTCTCTTTTGGTAACTCTGACTCGAACCACTCTAATGGTTCCTCCCAGCAGGGTACACCCTCAAGACATTTCTGCTCCCTAGTGAACTCAGGACAATAATCAGTTGCATACAGCAGCCTTTAAGCAGCAAATATCAATGGGTCTCAGGTTTCCCAGCTGTCAGCACACCTCTCTCTTTCTCCTTGTTTGCAGCACTGGGACTCCATAGAGAAAGGAGAGGCATCATCTCTACACTCCTACATCCTTCCTCCACCCTGCAGAGTAGTCCCTTGCCCTAGAGGTGGCGGTGAGGAGCTGCTGCTCTCCACAGCTCCCTGCAAAAAACCATAAAACCTAGGGTGGGATTAGCACAACGGAGGTAGGAGGTCTGCAAGCAGCTTTGTGCTCATTGAACTGTCTGTCATCTGTGTGGCAGTTTAGGATTTACAGTTGTGTTGCTGCAGTAGAAACCCAGCAAGAATGCATGACCTCTAGTTCAGCGAAAAAGAAGTGAAGGTGGAAACTGATCCCCGTTGGTCCCTTCCAACTCAGGATAATCTATCCTGCTGCTGTCTAGAGGGCTGGGCTCACACTGTCATCTTAGTGCAAGCAGGTTAAAAGTGTGCTGGAAGCCCAGGGAGACAGAGCTCTGGTAATTTCCGTGTCCTCAGGAGGCACATTGCTGCTTCTCCTCTTGGTCTTTATGCTGATTGTACAGGGACAATGCAAAGTAGAAATAATCTCTAGTTCCACGTAAGAAGCAACACTCATGCAAAATTTTTGCAAGGTGACAGAGTCATTCACAAAGCTTTTGCCCACGCATGATGGCTCTGCATCTTCCTGACTGCTAAAATGGGCATGGGAATACAGATTTCCCACCTCCATTTGCCTATCAGCTGTGCAGAAAATTCAGGACACCAACCCCCACAACTCACCTTGGTTTCCAGCTGCACCTTCAGGTCCTGCAGCTGTTCTTGGAGCTGCTGCGTTGTGATTGACATCTCTGCACACACAGAAATGGGAACCAGATGGTTGGGAGAAGGGCACATTGGGAAAAAAATGCACTGCAAAGACAGTCTTTGGTTCACTGTCCTTGTGCTTGATACTTAGGATTGCCCCACACTCTGTGAAGTGCTGGAGTCTAGTCCTCTGGCTCTCTAGTCCAACTCCTGCTCAGAGAAAGATTATCACCAAAGCCAGATTCCCCCATCTATATGGCAACCAATCCCAAGAAGTTTTTTCCTAATGCTCAGCCTGAACCTCCAATCCCACTTAATTATATTGTGTTTCCTCGCCACTCTCTACAGTGAAAGCACTCTGCCAGCTCGTTCCCAGCTGCCAAGTCCTCATGTTGCTGTCACAAGCTCACATGTTGGAACCACCTCTCTCACTCCTTCACCATCCATCATTCCTTTCTTCCCTTGCATGGCTGCCCAGTGTCAAAACCAGGAGCAGCCACTCTACACTCCCACTACTCCCATCACCACAAAACCCTGCTCTTGCCAAACAAACGGAGATGCCCCAAACACCCCTGCATTTTACCTCCAGCCAGCAGCCCCCTCTCAGCCCTGTTGTCCTGCAGCTGAAGACGCAGTTCTTCCAGCTCTCTTTTCAGCATGTCATTCTGGTCCCACAGCACCTGAGGCAGAGACAGGCCATGACGCAGCTGGGAAGCTTCCCAGGACTGGGACAGAATGTTCCCAGGTTGCAGAGGGAACAAAATGAAGTGAAAAGGTGCTGATCCCTTGGGAAGCATTGCATGAAACAGGTCCCCCTGCCTGCTTAGAGCAGAGAGCTCCAAAGGCAGCACAGGTGTTTATCCAGTCTCAGTGCTGTCATCACTCCACAGCAAAGAGTCTCACAGATGAACACCACGCTGAACAATGAGCCACTTCCATGCAGGTATCTGGATCTAGGAACCCCCTTGTTTCACTTTACATTCTGAATCCTACCCCAGATGCAAGAGCGCGTGAGGAATCCTGCCCCCCCCACTTTGAACTGACATTTAATTACATCCTATATGCTACACTATCCAGAAAATGAATGGGCTGCATAAGAATATGAGTTAGAGAACTTCCACAAATACAAACTAATGAATATTACTAAGCAGGTCTAGAAAAAAGTAAACCCAGTTTGTTTAATCTCCATTCTAAACAGAAGAGCAGACAGGAGGACGTAGGCTGCCAGCATTCAGGATTCAGCACCCAGTTGGGTGCCTCACATGGCAGGATGAAGCCAAAGGCATCTCCATCCAGCTGCATTTGCATCAACAACCCTGGAACAGCTCAGCCCTAGGCAGAATTACAGCACCAAGCATCTTCAGCCCTCTGGTGCCACCTGGAGCACTGCTGTATTGGATAGTGCTTCAGAATGTTTGCCTTCAGCTACAGCTTCAAGAGGAACTATCTGCTGAATCCATTAATGGCTTTGCTGCAAATGCACAGATTTTAGCCTCTGAAGAGATTTGGTAAGTCACCTTCTCTACCTGGTGATGCTCTGCAATCACACAAAGCACTTGGAAACACAGACAATGTGATAAGCGTAGGACATTGCACACTCAGGAGCCAACACAGAGAACACCCAGCAATGCAAAACATGCAAGAGACACACACTGCTTAGAAACCAGAGAAAGGTGACAGAGGCTGTGCTCACATCCCAAAGAGCCAAAGCTCTGGGCAGCAGCACAGTGCTGAGAAGGAGGTACAACACACATAACACCAATGCCAGGACTGTGCATGCACCAAGTACCTGGATAGGCTTACCTTGACTCTCTAGCAGAGCCCAGTAATTTTGTAGGGGTTGCGAAGCAGGGGACAGAAAAAGAAAGGGAAAAACAAAAAGGTAGAAGAATTTAGCTGATGGCATGCATTCCAAAGGAGCACAGCTTTCTCTTTCCATTCAAGAGAAAATTCCTTACAGTAGAGTCTGGAGTGCTCTGCCTGTATATAAGGAACTACATGATTCCCACATAAAACAGTCCATGGCTACAAGGTAGCAGGAAGGGTGAAATTTACAACCCGCTACTCCCCTAAACTGGCAGGGGAACCAACACACACAGCGTTGCATGCTGTGGGAGCAAGGTTCCTTTACTAGGGGCATAGCTGTGCCCTGCCTCCTGCCAAAGGATGCTGAGCAAGGCAAGAAGGAAAACCATCCCTTCACACTTTGTTCACCACTGCCCCATTCCTCTGCCCCAGACTGCAGCACCCAACAGATGTGCAGATGACAGCTGTATGCTTCATGACAGCATTGAAGAAGAGCTGCCCACTTGTACCTGACATTGCCGCTCGTATTCCAGCACAATCTCTGAAAAGTATTTGCCATGGTTCAGGAGCTCGGAGTTGTGGGGCTCCTCCTGGTCCAGCTGCACAAGCACAGGGAAACACTTCTTATCAAGGAAATTGTCATCTCTCCAAGTGGAGAGACAAAAGCTCTACAAAATCACTGGAGTCACAGTCCTAAAGCTCTAGATTCAGAAGAAGGGTTCCTATTGACACCAGTGGGATGGCTCAAGTGCAGAAAGAGGGGAAAGAACATCTTTCTTCTTAAGTCAGAGATACCTAACTACAGACAGGCTGGCTTCCCCAAACCAGCTACTGACTCATTTCTTTCCCAGATCCATTTCACCATGCTCCTCACTGGAGTGGAAGCTTCAACTACTAATACTAACAAAAACAAACTCTTTATTCAATACCTGTTAAGAAGAAATTTTTTTGAACATCTAATTTTCATTCGAAAACCTCATATTTGTACAGTTTTCTTTACTTGCAAATTTCCTCCTTTCAAACTTTGAAAGGCCTAAATTAAAACAGTAATTCTCCTTTCCACGTTGTCATTAATATGCAGGAGAATTCAAAGTGGGGTGGGGTAACATAACAACTGAGCTGTAATAAACCAAATTTAAAAAAAAAAAAAAAAATTAACCTTCTGAAGAGTTCTTCAGAAGACTTAACCACAACACAGAAACAAAGGCTACCTTGTCCTTCACAACGAGGTTGAGCTCTTTCTGAAGCTCCAACACCAGCTTCTCAGAGGCGGTCAGTTTCTCACCCATCTCCATGACTTTGTTTTGCAGCTGTGTGTTCTCCTGCAGTAAAAGAAGAGAAGATTCTCTTTGAGTTGTGGGTCCTCAGTTTATCAGTTACGGACCTTCAGTGGGCAGCTGCAGAACTACTAGCACATCAGCATGTGATCGCAGCACTGCTCACAAGGAATCCCACTTTGGGCAGGACAGTGCTGATACATGCTACATGGGCTAGGGATTGGCTCGTCTCTCTAAACAACAGACAGAGGCATAGGTTTTATAGAATAAGAGCTAGACAGCCCTGTAGGCTTGTCTGTACCTCTGCTTCACAAAACTATCTGTCTGTGCTAGTTTGTTGAGAAGAAAGAGTCTTCCCTGATCAACCCAGTCACTTTCAGTGATGGTATAACTACATCAACAGATAAGGGAAGAGCCACTGTGTCATCTATCCGGACTTCTCTCCAAATTGGAAAGAAATGGATTTGATGGGTGGACTTTTCAATGGACAGGGAATTGGTTACAAGATCATACTCAGACAGTGGTGGTCAATGGCTCAGTGTCTGAATGGAGCCTGGAGAAGACGAGGCTCTGAGGAGACTTGGTAGAGGCCTTTCAGTATCTAAAAGGGGGGGCTATAAGAAAGAAGGGGAGGAACTCTTTAGTAGATTCTGCTGTGACAGGACAAGGGGAAATGGCTTCAAACTAAAAGAGGGGAGATTTAGATTGGATAAAATAAAAAAGGATATTTTTTTTTACAATGAGGATAGTGAAACACTGGCACAGGTTGCCCAGAGGTATGGTACATATCCCATTCTTGGAGACATTCAAGGTCAGGCAGAACTGGGCTCTGAGCAATCAGATCTAGCTGCAGATGTCCCCATTCATTGCAGGGGGGTTGGACGAGACAACCTTTAAAGGTCCCATTCAACTCGAATGATTCTAAGATAATATCTCAGGCACAGGGACACCTTTGTCTCTGCTTCTATATGCTCCTTCACACAATTTTAGCCTCAGCCATCAGTGCAGGTGTCACTAAAGGCCAAATCATTCTCAGCAGACTACATGAGGGTTCAATAATGTCCTGGCCAGCAAATAAGATCCTTATTTTAATTGTGTAGTATGAATGTGACTCACAACTTCTCCATAAACTCCTGCCCTTCCTAGCAAAAGCGAGACAAGTTATCCAGCCTCATCACCACTTCTGCTTTGATTCCTCTGAAGGAATGAAGACATTCATTTCAGGGCAGTTTTACTTACCTTTATCATGAGGTTCAGTCTCCCATGAAGGGTGGCCTCTTTGCCCTGGAAGAACTGTGCATCAGCCTCCAGCTTCACTTGATGGTTGATAGCTTGCTGCAAAAGCAGCTCTTTCGCCTCCATTTCAGTCTGAACATCCCTGAAACAGATAAGCAACATGCTTGGGAGCAGCTGAAACATATTCTCAAATTACTGTGAGGTCCAGGCATTCATGCTCACCCCACAAAAAGCAGAAGAGAAGAACTTGTTTGGAGAGATACTGGAAGTGTAAGCGAAGTGCACAAAAGTTAAAGGGTCCTCAGGGACTTCTCTGCCACTCACACAATGTCCAAACAAGTGAGAGATTCAGAAAGGGAGACTGGTACAGGAAGGAGAGGCAGTGGGCACCCACAGGAAAACCATTTTCCCAGTTCAACCAAAAGAACCCTTCCTACTTGAGCTTGCTCTGGCTATGCTTGAGGGCGATGTACTGCTTGTCCAACTCTCTGCTGAGCTGCAGGCAGTGTCTCTCCGCTTTCTCTAAGTCCAGTCTGGCCTTGTCCCTCTCCCTGGAGATTTGCCTCACCTGGCTTCTGCAGGCACAGTAAGCAGTGCATTCAGAGACACCTCTTGCAGTCCAATGAAGGCCCTCTACCTCTCATGAGGAGCAGCATTCTTACTTGAGGCACTGGAGTTTGTATGCATAGGAGGTGACGGCCGCATGCTGAAGGCCACTCCGTGAGACCATGAGTGTGCTGTCCAAGGCTGCAGGCAGCTCTGCTGGGCTCCTCTGTGCTGCTAATCAGTCTCTGAAACAGAAGCACTGAGTGAAATCACTCTTCCTCTTTTCCAACAACACTTCCACGGTTACACCAGCTGACTGCTCTCAAGAGACAGCCTCCCATTTCAAAAAGAGCCCTAGTTAACATCCACCCAGACTTTCCCAACCCTGGGGTGGCCAAAGCTCACCCTCCCATCACAAACCTGCCCACAAGCACTTCTTCCACCCCAGAGATAACTTGCTAGAAGATCTCATTCCTCACTTCATCTGCCACCACCAGACATCTTAATGCTAAGCACCTTGAGGATCTGCTGAGTTCTTCCAGAGCTCAGATGACAATGACAAATTCAGGCTTGGCAAATCTAGTGCAGCTCCTGGTGCTGGAGAAGAGATTTGAGCTTACGCAGCTTGGCAGGAAGGAGGGACTGCTTCTCCGCTCGCTCTTCTCTGACACCAAGAAAAAACACAACAGAGTTAAGTCAGTGAGGCAAAATTGGCAGAGAAAAAACTGATATCTTTCAAAATCAAAATTCCAGGTATTCCACTGATATTGGATCAAGTTCTAATAACAACATCAAGCTGTCAGAAGCTAGCTTGGAGATGTCCTGAGCCACCTCTCAGGCAGTCATAAGAAGAGAAGGAAGCCACAAACTAAGCACTTTGGTCTCCCTGCTAACTGATGAAAAGTCAGTATCCACAGAAAGACCAACTCTGAAAGTTATACAGCACCAGAGGGTCATCTGAAAGCTGTCAAGACAGCTGATACTTGTTTGATCTAGAAGCTAAAATTGGGCTGAGGTCAGCTTCGCCCTTCTTGCCTCAAAGCTAAGTGAGATTCAGCCAAGTTGACTCAAAAGAACTTGAATACCAGAAAGCCAACACAGAGTTGGTAACAACCCCAAGAACACCACTTTCATTTCAGGTTTGGAGGAAGCCCTTCCTTTTCCACTTTAGTGCACTAAAGCACTTTAAATGCACTTGCAACTGCTTTGTCAGTTCTTGGGATTAAAAGTGCTATGAAGAAATAATTTACACCAAACAAGGAAAATATGGGTGAACTAAAGAAGGTGATAACCTCAGTTACGAGATGTGTAGTAATGTCAGTGTTTCTGAAGCCAATATTAGAATTGGGGTGATTTTTGCCCTTTTATTTTGTCCCCCAGTAAAGAGACAAGACTTAACAGCTCTCCTTCCTTCTGCACTATTGTCTCACCCCACCTGCACAGGGTTTGCTCCCACTTCTGCTCAAGTAGCTCCCGAGAGGGTCATTCAGACACTACGCAGTGGGTAAGGCCCAGATCATCTCTACAAGGAACAAGCAGAGAATTCTCTCCAACTCACCACACCAAGTAACGTCTATTAAATCAGCCCCCTGTGAAAAACAGCATCTTCATCTGAATTGTCCTCAGTAGAACCCATTCTTTAGCAATTTTGTTTTATGTTTGGGTGGGGGTAAACAGACAGAGATGTGATAGCTGGACTTGTGTCCGGATTCCCTTCAGACTGTTGCAGAAACATCAGACAGAAATGAACCACCCTATGTACAGAACTGGCCATGATTTATGGCTCCTTAATCAAAGCTAACGGAGATTACCTCTGAGAAGTTGCAGACCAAGGCCACGAATCGGGATCTTCTTCACAAAGAGCATTTTGTGCCTTTCAGCTCACCACATGCTGTGCTAACAGCCTCGGCTGCACATACAAGTTGCATCTAAAAGATCTCAGCATACTCTGGGAATGGAAGGTCGTGTGGCTGAGCAAACCAATCTGCAGCTCCTCAGAGCTCACCCTGCAGCACCCAGCCTTGTTTGATTTACTGAATACATCTCTGGGCTCCTAAAGGAGGATGACAGGAGCTCACGAGCCGCAGGAACACAGCTGCCAAAGAGACTTTTGTAATAGCTCCCCTCCTGGTCTTCTTTTTTTGAGGCAGCCTCAAGCTGTACCCGCAGATCGGACCGCAGAGAGAAGAGGCCGGCACCAAAGCACTGTTAAAAGGGGGAAGGATAGAAGATACCGATCTTGCAGAGACGCAGTGGGAGTGGAAGACGACAGCCGCAAACCTCCTGCCCGCAGAGCCGACACACAGCAGTGCGAGATGCAGGCAGCACACAGAGCGCGGGCAGGCGGAGCAAAGCGGCCGTTCCGTGCTCAGCCTGCCGCTCTGCCAGCAGCACGCCCTCAGCGGGGCTGCGCAACCCAACCTTCGTTTGACAGCGCAGACCTATCGCTCAGGAGGCGATACGGGGCCGACGGCCAGCCGGTTTCTTAGCGCTGCCCAGCGCATGCCGGGCCCACAGGCGGCCTTTACCCGGCAGAGCAGCGGCAGACGGCCATACCGGGACCGGCGCTACCCCCGGCCCTACCCGGACTTACCGCCCCACAGCGCACGCGCACAGCTCACTACGACGCACTCCTGCCGCGCGTGCGCACGCCTCCCATCTCCGCCCACTCTGCCGTCGCGCACGCGCGACCCTCTCGACCACCCCCGGCGCGCACGCGCACACCCCTCCCCGCCCCTTCCACCCGCCCACCGCGCGTGCGCGCTCCGCGCCCGCCGCCTCCGTCGGGATTCCCGCGCATGCGCGACGGGCCGTTCTCTGGGTGCGTGGCGGCCGCGCCATCGTCGTCGCGCGCGGGTAGGGCGGCGGCAAGGCCTGAGTGAGCCATGTCGGGGTCCGCGGGCTCCGGCGGCACCGCCGGCTCGGCGAGGAAGCGGATCATGAAGGAGGAAGACATGACGAAGGTGGAGTTCGAGACGAGCGAAGAGGTGGACGTGACGCCCACTTTCGACACCATGGGGCTGCGGGAGGACCTGCTGCGCGGCATCTACGCCTACGGTGCGCGGCGGGGCGGCGGGACGGGGGAAGGGCGGGGGGAGGGAAATGGCGGCGGCGAGGGGCGGCGCGCATGCGCGGCGGCGCGCTGTAACGGCCGTGTCCCCGCAGGGTTCGAGAAGCCGTCGGCCATCCAGCAGAGAGCCATCAAGCAGATCATCAAGGGCCGCGACGTGATCGCGCAGTACGTGGGCCGGGGGGCGGGCCGTGGGGGCGGGATGGGGGGCTCCTCCGGAACGCCGGAGCCTTCACCGCACCTCTGCTCTCAGGTCACAGTCGGGAACGGGGAAAACAGCGACGTTCTCCATCTCTGTGCTGCAGTGTCTGGACATACAGGTAGTCCGCGCGTTGAAAATGTCTGTTGTCTTTACTGTGAGGGCGGTGAGACACCGGCACGGGTTGCCAGAGGCTGTGGATGCCCCTCCCTGCAGGCGTTCAAGGCCAGGCTGGATGGGGCTGTGAGCAGCCTGGTCTGGAGGGAGGTGTCCCTGCCTATAGCAGGGGTTGGAACGAGGTGGTCTTAAAGGTCCCTTCCAACACAAACCATTCTGTGATTCTTTCATTGGAGGGCTGAATCGATTTCTCAGCAGTCAGAATTGTGCTCAGACAGCTCTGAGAGCCTCTTGGATCCATCTGAACAGCTGGCACGCATTGCGTGGTCAGATAAGCATTTGACAGACACTGTTCTGAAGGAGAAGATCAGCTCAGCAATTGGATGAATAAAACAAGCTGTCCAGTGAAGAGCTGCTCAAGCACAGTCTTGTAACTTAACGTAAGGGCTATAAACATGTAAGCATTCCATGCAGGTGCAGCTTTTGAGGTGTACCAATGCTTGCAAACCCATAAGTTTTAGCACAAAATTGTACAGTTGATCCTGTGTGACAGTTCAGGGTGCTGTGGGCTCTATTCTGTTTGTTACTGCTTGCTCTATACTTGCTGTGCAATTAATTGCCATGTGGTCAACAGGTTCGCGAGACCCAGGCACTGATCTTAGCACCAACTCGAGAGCTGGCCGTGCAGATTCAGAAGGTAGGAACATCTAAATCATTGCCTGTAAAGCATTTATAGGGATTGGTGCAGATTCTCTAAGCATTCTCTTGAATAGCAGAAGTGCAACTTCTGCTGTTCAAGGGAATGCGTTTTCCTGAATGGAATAAGAAATCCTAATGAAGGGCTGTTTTTCCCATCTGTGTAATATCCATTCTTCCTTACATGACGGGTTAGTTAGCAGTCTAATGTTTTACATATTCCTACCTGAATTTCTAAGTACAGTACTCTTTAAAAGTAGTTGTGATCCCTGGGAAATAACCAGATCCTCAGCCTTTGAAAGCCTGCCATTGAGAAGGTTTGGAGAACAACAGAACAAATCTTTCTTTAAGCTTTTATCTCTAGAAAAATAACATATGGCTATTCAGCCCAACATGACTTGATAAATAACAAATTTCACAAGAGCTCAGATGATTGATTTATTATTTATTTCAAAATAGGGTCTTCTTGCTCTGGGAGACTACATGAATGTCCAGTGTCACGCCTGCATCGGGGGGACCAATGTGGGTGAAGATATCCGAAAGCTGGATTATGGGCAGCATGTTGTTGCTGGCACTCCAGGCCGGGTGTTTGGTAAGATCTGGGAGGCTGCATGCTTCCATGTTCACACTTCAATTGAGTCATGGGACCATCCCACAAATTTAATGCATTTAGATTTGAAATAGCATGGAAACTACATCTATCATTAATGTATGCAGCGATGAAGAGCAACAGAGTATATGTTTACTGTAGTAGTAGCTGGAAGAGATGAGAGAGAAAATACTGGGGAAAGAATTAGGATTTTCTGTTTATGCTTTGATTTTCATTAACAAAATGGTTCTTTGCATTGTAGCATAGAAAACAATATTTTTAATGGTGGTAATATTGCAATCCCGGGATTATCTCGGTGTCATGAAAGAGATAGGAGCTGGGTCTGTTTGAGTATCACAACAAGAGACAAAATGCCTGTGTAAAAAGTCTGTCTCCTTCCTGCTTGTAAGCTCCCTTCCGCTACTGGAAGGCTGCAGTGAGGTTTCCCTGGAGCCTACACTTCTGTGTCTACTTCCTTATAGTCAACTAAATAGTCCAGTCTTCAAATCTAGCTCTTTCCCATGTAGGGATGAATATTAGGCTCATATATTCTCTGTACTGACCCTCATTAGCTCTGTCAAATCAGTGCACGTGCAACTTTATTATCTGGTTTCACATCATGAAAATTTTTATGCTTACTGTTACTGGCAGTTGGTAAAGGGAGAGAGTCAGCCTTCTAGCTCGTAAGTTGTGGATTTCTGAAACAGTAGTACTTTGTTATCTGAATACGTAGTACTGGGGGAACACAGAGCTAGTCTCCATAGGCAAAAATAACTCATGATAACAACCACAAAGCAACTTTGTAGCTGCCAAATGGGGTGGCTCTGAACAACTCAGAGAAAATAGTTCTGTCACAGGATGAGGGAATTACATAAAGCCATGTGCTCCTTCAAACAGGAAGTAGATTTGCCCACTGGACAGAAAGTTGAGGTAGCACATTGCATTTCTGGCATCCAGCTGCAGTTGCTATGTGAGACTGATGTGCTCGTGTGCAGTTAGCAGATAGTATCCCACAGCTCGGACTCAGCTTCCCTGTAGCCTGTGCTTCCTTAGCTGGGCAGCAGAGACAGGGCCCTGGTTGCAGGGTATTGGGGAACATGGTGGCACTTGGCTGTGCTTTTCCATCACCAAACACCAGTCTCTGTTGGCAACAGGAGAAGTGCCAGTCCCTCCTCCACTGAAATGCACTGACAGCAGCTGGGAGCAATGTAGGCTCACTTGCTTTCTGAGCCTTTTCATCTTACAAAGTGAAATCTTACAGATATGATCCGGCGACGAAGTTTAAGGACTCGTGCTATCAAAATGCTGGTTTTGGATGAAGCAGATGAAATGCTCAACAAAGGTGAAATATTTATCTCCCTTGTACTTCTCTCTACTCACCTCTTTGAGATTCTGATATCGTCCCAGTTAGTACTCCTGCTTCTTAAAACAACTGTTTTACCAAAGCTAGGCAAGCACAGTTACATTATGGGCTGTAGGAAGCAACTTAATATGCTTTGCCTATTTAGTTATCATGTCCTTTTCAGTAGTTATAAATTCTGGAGTGTTGCTTTTTGTAGTGTTCTGGGCAACACAGCCACGTCACAGTAAGTCTGGGAGAACTGGGGAGAGATAAACGATGGGTGACACTGGCCGTATGATAAAAACACTCAGTATTCTTCTTAGAACATAGGCCCAATGCTCAATTCCAGCTTAAACTGAAATAAAAGGATATTCAGGAGAAAGATGTGCTAACTTCCCTATAATATTTGATTTCCTTTTGCAGGTTTCAAGGAGCAGATTTATGATGTGTACAGATATTTACCTCCAGCTACACAGGTAGTGCTGATCAGTGCCACTTTGCCTCATGAAATTCTGGAAATGACCAACAAATTCATGACAGACCCCATTCGCATCTTGGTGAAACGGTGAGTGAGTTTTCCTGGGAAGAGCAGTTCTTGTCTTAATCATGTTCCTTCTCAGCACTGCAGTTTGAGTAGGTATTTACAGACATCCTCATGTTGCACTTGCAGCAGAGGCCAGCTTGGATCTCTGGCTTTATCCTTGTCCATTTCTGTTCGCTGCTGCTCAGTCTGAATTCCCTCATCCTCCCAAGTACAGTAATCTACCCAATTCCTGTGCTCTTTCATTAGACTTTCTTAAGTGTCTTCCATTGATAGTATAGAGTATGGCTAGAAAGCTTAAAGCTGATTGATCCCGAAGGCCCTGACGCACAGCTTATGTCTGGCATTGCAGCAGGTCCTTACGTGCTGCAGCTCAGCGGGTGTCAAAGAAGTAAGTGGAGACAGCCTGACTGGAAAGGCCTCATCCGTGCCTGACCTCTTACACTGCCCCAGTTACCTCACTACTGGGGTCTCTTCTTGCCAAGATGTTTGCACATAAAAGTGAGAACAGACATTTTTCCCTTTGAAGTTGTCTGCCTAGAGCAGAGAGGGTGCTAAGTTTGAGCCTCTGTGTGCAGGTCATGTTTGAAGCCTTTCTTAGAGCAAGCAGTCTTCTCCAGGGACTTCATAGAGGAACTTGAGACCCAGTATCCAGAGCACTTGAGGCAGACATGTGAGCCTCCAGCCCTTTTAGCTGCATTGTATGCACTCACCCCTTGCAGTGTCTTAAAGCTGTTCTTCTTTCCTAAAGTGATGAATTGACCCTTGAAGGAATCAAGCAGTTTTTTGTGGCTGTGGAGAGGGAAGAATGGAAGTTCGACACCTTGTGCGATCTCTACGACACGCTCACTATCACCCAGGCTGTCATCTTCTGTAACACCAAGAGAAAGGTACAGCAGCCATGAGATGGGCACGTTATCTCACTTGCAGAGGGCAACACAGAGGAAAATACTGGGCCAAACCAAAGTGTCTGGTTCTTTCCCTGGTTGAGAATTGCCTAGTAAGAACAGCAGTTAAATGTGTCTTTAGGAGATGCCTTATGGAGACAACAAGCTACAGGCAGACCTGATAGAGTTGTCAGCAACTGCCTTTTTAGACTAGTAGGGACTGATAAGGTAGGAACATGCTTATTGGTTATAATTCCTAAAAGAAAATCATTCTGAATAAATGCCTTTAATTCCTTTCTTTTCATCTTTTCAGGGTTCATGAAACCCTGTCATATAGGTGATGCCCTGCAAGGACTATTTAGTTCCTTCAGCTCCAAAACACTTGTTAAAGTCTCTCTCAGTCCTTACCGGCATACATGCGCAAATGTTCTCCGAACAGAACTAACACTTCTGGCTGGCACAAGTAGATAGCTAACCCAGGCTGCTTGGCTGTACACACAGGTAGACTGGCTCACAGAGAAAATGAGAGAAGCCAACTTCACCGTTTCATCCATGCATGGAGACATGCCACAGAAAGAGAGAGAGTCCATCATGAAAGAATTCAGATCTGGTGCAAGGTCAGTGATTTTAACAGCATTGCTTACAATATTGCTACCTAAGGCAAGAGGTCTTCCAGTGCCTCAGAGGAAACAGTCTTAGAAGCCTTTAAACCCTCTCTTGTCCCAAGGTCTTGTTTCTGGTTTAGTTTGAAAATCAGAATTCTTGATTTCCCTCTGCCTTTGTAGTGTCTCAGAGATGGGAGATGTCACTGTCCAAGGAGGGATGCTCATACTTTAGGCATAGAATTACCCCATTGTGTTTTGCTGAGGAGACTGGGAGTTGGTGCATTTAAAAAGAGGAATTAAAATGTAAGATCAGAGCTGGCTTTGCACCGTCTCATCACAGAAGTTTGGTGGTTCTATGGGACCAGATTTCCTAGTAGCACACTTGTGGAATTGCAGGGGGGGGGCAGAATAGCAGATGTTTCCAGCACTGGGCAGCCCGATTCCTCAGCTCACGTCTGTGCTCAGTGACTGTCCCCTTCTCTTTGCAGCCGAGTCCTTATTTCAACAGATGTTTGGGCTAGAGGTCTGGATGTGCCTCAGGTATCTCTGATCATTAATTACGACTTACCCAACAACAGAGAACTGTACATACACAGGTAAGCTTGGTGTTCACTCTAGGGAACACGGCTGGATTACCCTTACCCACAGTGGCTTCATTGTTTCTCCTGCCTCCGCAGAATTGGCCGTTCAGGCCGATATGGCCGGAAAGGTGTAGCTATCAACTTTGTGAAGAATGACGACATCCGCATCCTGAGAGACATTGAGCAGTACTACTCCACCCAAATAGATGAGATGCCCATGAACGGTGAGTGCAGGCCTGCCCCAGGCTGCTGCCCTCCTCTGCTCGGAGGTTTGTGCCCTGCATCTGAAAGAAAGTGCTTTGTTCTGCCACATGCTTTGTTCCCAACCACAATCCCTCTGCTCCTTCCCCTGGAGAGAAGCCCAGCAGTACGTGCATTTTCCTGTTGGGCTACACTTCTCAGCACACTTAGTGCATACTTATATTTTCTTATTTTCTTTTCAGTTGCCGATCTTATCTGAAGATCCACATTCATGTGGGAGTTGTACTCATCATACCTTGTTCTTAGCCTCCGTAATTATGTTTTGGACCCCCCTCCATTTGTCATACTGCTGGTCATATGTTCTTGAGTTGGGGTTGCAGTTGGGAACTTGTGTAAATAATGTCTTTTCTCCTGCCCATGTTTTTCAATAAAAGTGAAATTTTACCATATCCTGTGCCTGATTACTTTAACCCAAAATAGTAACAGGCAGAGTTTTGAGATACTGCCATAAAATACAGTTTCCTGTTCTCCACCCTTTGTAATTGCTGCACCACATTAGCTGGCCCCTCACCCCACATATCTGCTGGTTCAAACCCTCCTCTACACACACCAGCACTGACCTTGAGACAGTAACCTGTCCAATAACCAGTGTTCAAAGGCCTCTCTAGCCTCCACACAATTCAAAGGGGTCTCAATGGCCCTTAGAGTCCCTGTAACAATAGGTCTGGTCCCTCTAGCTGTCTCAGGGAGAACAGCATGTACATCCAACCCAGACTTAGGGCTGCTTCAATACCCCAGGAGGCTTAACCATTGCTGGCTAATCCAGATTCATATACCAACATGCACCCTGGCTCTGCAGTTGTTGGCACTTGCTTTCCATGTACTCATTCTCAACACAGTCCCTATGCCAAGGTCCCTAATCCAGTTGCTGGCATTTAAGTCACACTGCAGTTCCCTCATCCAGAAATCAGAATTTGCAGGAGCAAGCACTTGCTGACATACACTCAGTGCTTTTTCACTTTCAATCTTCTTTTTCCCCACACTTGTTACTTCCAAAAAAAAAATAAAATATCCCCTTGATCCCTTGCTCTTGCTGCCTTTGGATCCTCTCAAAAACAGCCCACAGCAAGGTTTGCACAATTCCTAAGTGCTCTTTCCTGTATCAGTAACCTAAACCTTCAGCACTAGAAACAGCAGAGGAAGGATGAAGATGACAATTAATTATCCCTCCTATTCTCTGTGTCCTTGTATTATTTGCTTTGTAACTTCTTGGGTCAGGGTCTACAACTTTTCTCCCCATCCCACCACATGCACACCTTTATAACCACCAGTCTTCCTACCACTAGAAGGGTAGAGGCTGGATCATGACTTCCAGCCTTACTGACAGTCACACTACATAGAGTTCTGCTCTCACCATCACTGTAGGGCGTGGCACAGCCTCAGATCTGACTCTCAGTTCTTACATTCTCCAGGAAGGTACAAAGCAAGTGTGGCACTCTAAGCCACCTTTGTGATTCCTCAATTTTTTGACCAAGAAGAAAAACAGATTCAGCACAAAAACAATAGATTGTTTAAATAACAGTATTTAATCTGTACAGTTTGAGAGAAGATAGCATAAAATGCAACATTCCTACCTCATCTTTAGCATCATTCACCTGGAGCTGAGCCCTAATCTCTGTAGGACAGGTAACAACCACCAACCCCTAGCAGCTCCATAGGGTACAAAAGTCACAGTGCAATTGCTTTAGTTTAAACAAGTACGTTTCCCTCCCTGATGAGAGGGGAGCCTGATACAGCTCAAACATTGATGGAAATTTGTTCTACTTCGGAATGAAGAAATAATAAAATACAAGCTATTGCACACAGTCATTTTCCAGCTGAAACTACAGCAGTTAGTTAACTGTTTAGCTGCCCTTATACTCCGCACATCTGAAAACACTTTAGTTGATGCTTAGTCAAGTGAAAACAGCCTGTAACGATTTCAGAATGATACAGTTGTTGAAGGGCAGAAGCTGACAAACAACTCGGTAAAGTCAAGAAGCGTGCTTCAGAAAAGCAGAAAGTTCTCCTAAACAGGGAAGGGATAGGACCTAGACAGATGTCATCTTTCAGAGACGAGCATGAAAGAAACATCAGCTTCAATAGAAAGCTATGAAGTACAATAGACAATTTGTTTATATAATTGTCAGGATAAGTATTTGACATAGTTTATGTAGTAGAATACATACTTAAACATCTTTTAAAAATAAGCACGAATTTCATTTCATATATACACAACTGATTTTAATCATGTACTGAAAATAAATTACAGGAAATAACTTTAAAATGCAACAGAAGACAAGAGTTTCACAACAAACATTCCCACTGATTTTCCCAAGGGGGTGAGATTGCAGTGCTCAAGGCAGGTAAATATCACAAATATATCAAAAAACTTCAAATTGTTGATGCATTCACACATTTACATGAGCCACAAACATTCCCTTACAGGGACTGCACTTAGCTACCACAGAACCAGGTTTTGCCATAAACTACAAAACTTTGATACAAAATTGTATTTATATATTTATATTTCATATACATGCCCTATCTGTGATTTCTTAAAAAATAAAAACTAAACACACTGTACAGACAATCCTAACTCATTGCTTGGTAGCTGTAGGCAACGTTTTTCAATGGAATTTCTTCCCCCAGTAGAATTAATGGCAATATTATATACATGAAGGCTAAACTGCAGAAAAAAACAGCTCAGTTCTGATATGCACCTCCCTCTGGACCAGGTCTGCAAGTTCAAGGCAAGACACCAGATGCTCAGACCCACTGCCTCCCTTACAAGCTATTCTGCCATCAGCGGTGTGAGGAACCAATATATGCATTTGTGTAACACTGGTATAAAAGGCAGTAAAGCAAGATGCATATCTAACATAGTGGCTCTAATAGCTTCACCAACTCCATACACAGAAACATTCTGGCCTTAGAGGTGGCAAAGGGGGTGTTGTAGAGCTAGATACATCTGAGGACAGCACAGCACCCCTTACATGGTCTGATCATTACTTCCCTGAAGTTATCTCCCGCAGAGGACAGGCTCCCACTGTAAGCCAGACACTGCATCAACTCAAACACTGGGGGGGAGATCCCTCCCCCACACACACCCCAAAACGCACACATGCACGGTTCACCAGGACTATGCTTAAAAACACACACCCCTCCCACCCACCCCCAGTCTCCATGGCACCAGTTTGTCTCGGAAGCAGAGCACTTGACAAACTTACTCTCCCCAGGTGATGGCAGCAGTCTGTGAAGCCAGTCACACTAAACTACTTCTACAGTTGATTGTAAACTTTGGTTTATTTTTATTTTTTTATTTTTTTATTGAGTTCTCATGGTACAGCAAGCATGTCTAGGATGAGAGGGCAGAGTTGAAGAGGAGATGTACTGTCAGTCTGTCTTTAGTCTGGCATGGTGAGACACCTGCTCGGTCAGGCCTGCTTTGATAGAGTTTCTAACAGACTGCCTCATATGATCCTCCACCAAATTATCACTCATGGGCTTCAACACCTGTGGAATGAGAAACGTGCAAAGAAACAAAAAAATGAGGTAACCAAAGAAAATAAAATATAAAAAAAACATACAAAAATATGAGACTTGAAATGGAAAAATTTGGAATGCTGACGTCTGACACAAACTGGCATGAACTGAAATAGATGAGTTTTGCTGCTACACTAATGAGGTTAAATCAGTCACATGCTATGAACACAAGTGATATCCCTCCTACACAGCAGTATTTCTCTGAATTCAAACCACTTTACAGTTCCTAGAAGGTGGATGTGCAATTCCATACCCTATATGCAGCATCAGTCTGGTATGGTTACAGCATTTATGCAGACCGGCCCAGACGGTCCAGCTTATTGTCCTATATGTGTAAGTTGTGAACACTTCAGATACAGAAAGAAAATTAAAAATACTGGCTAGTTTTTCTTCTTGTTATTGTTGGATGAGAGTCGCTGTCGCGGCACTGATGTAAGAGCACGGCGAATTGTTCGGCATCTAAGGACTTCAAAGAGTTTGAAAAACACCTAGAACATGAATTGAGCTGTTAGGAAACGTGGCTCTCAGAAGGCAGCAGATAAAGTCAGTTAAGTTCAGAAGAATCTGATTGCCAACTTCTTACCTTCCTGGGATTCCTCTGAAGCATGGAGGAAAAAGAAACAAAAATCAATAGAAAGAATATGGGACATAAGAAGAGTGACTCAGACCAGGACACGTAAATGCTTTGCCCATTATCTATGATGTAGAACTGTAACAACAGAAAGAGCAACCTCCTTCGGAGAACACCTTCCTCTAGCCCATAAAAAGCTCCTGCTGCCATAAACCAAGTTCTTCCCCTCCTCAGGGAAGGCCAGTGATCAAACTAAACTCCATGTGCTCTAGGTATCCTCCAGCAGAACTGCTCTCATAGCAAGCACTGCACAACCAACTGACACCCTCCACCTTTCCTGCAATGCTCTTCAGCTCCAAGCTCCAAAGCAAGAAGCTACAGTGATACAGAAGAATACAGAAGAGCCTCAATTTTAACCACTAATCAAGCAGTGTAACTCAGTTTAGTACATTTTTTCATTTCCCTCATTAGAAATCCCCTTTTTCTCTCCAGTTACTTCAGAGTAATTCATAACCCTACACAGCCGCCACAGACAGGCTGAGTATACCACTGCCTATGAAAAGCCTGGAACAAAGTCATTTGAGATGTACAAGACTGCATCAGCACAGGAGGCTCCAGTTATTTGTTCATGCTGTGCAGGACCTATTTTAGTGCCATCCTGGGTCAATTCAGTCAGTCCTTTAACTGGTAGTAATAACAGCTCTAAAAGCACTTCCCTTTTGTTGGCATCTAACATAGCTACTAGAAATGTTCCAAAAGCTACTTGGAAGAGTTGGTCAGTTGGTCAAGATTTTCATGCTGGCTGTACTGGGATAGCTATGTTAACTGGAATCAGACAACATGATCTTTATACAGAGGCCTTTGGTACTCTTGACGCTCGAGTCTTCTTGTTCTTTCAGAAATTTGTCTAACAACCATCACAACAACCATGCTATCTGAAGTATCACACACAGCACAAATCTTCCAGGAAGAGGAAGAAACTTGGTGTACAACAACTATTGCAAGTCTGTCTGGTCACCCATCAGCCATTTTCCTTGAGGTCTAATTAATCCTCCAGAGTCACACCATCTGGTGAAATGCAAAAGGACAGCACTGTTCCTAACATCCACATTTCTTGAACCACTGGAAATATTTTATCCAGCTCATCCACAGTGCAAGCCTGCCACTTTAAACTTACCTTTAAAAGCAGAATTTTTCTGCTTCAAGACGTAATGAGATTTAAAAAGAGTACCTCCACTCTTAACATTCAAGCATCTAGCAAGGCCTGTAACATTCCTGGGCTAGCATTCTCCATATGCTCTTCTAGTGAAGAGAGCAGTCACATTTCTAAGCTAATTTTCCCTTCAGCAAAACTAGCGTTCTTTATTAAGTCTACACCAGCTTTTCATTCACAGCACTGAACAGAAACTATTTTATATGTTTGCTCAAAAAAAGATTTTTCATTAAAATAGATACCAACCTGTTCCCATATAGCTTCAGCGATCTGATCAATGGCTGTTCCAACTTCTCTGAATTCCCCAGAGTACTTAACGTATGCCCATGTACAAAAGGATATAAGAGCCATCCCCAGCACAAGATTACACAGGGTAGCTATGGAGTTCATACCAAGGAACCCAGTCAGTCCTGAGATTATATACATGGCAAACATGACTGCAAATAGAGTGGCAGGGGTACGAGCAGCATAAAATATGTTTTTGCCATCATTGTGCTTCACAAAGTTTGCATAGATCTCATCGATTTCTGCCTCAAGCTGATCCTGGTAGCGCCGACAGAATTCCTCCCCTCCCATCTTCTTCACAGAGCAGAACTGCTTGACAGCTGACTCTTTGAAATCCTGGTGCTTCCGCTCAAGATCCGATGGGGCAATATAAGGCTTATCTCCTCCACAGATCTGCAGGAACAATCAGAGGTGGTGTCAACACATAAAGCATATTGTCCTGTAGAGAAAGGAAACCTGCTCCTTGCTGCTTACCCCACAAACCACTATCAGACTGACTCCTGCAATTTTCTTCTGTAAGGTCTGGAGTCCCATCCCAAGGCAAGCAACTAAAAGTACTCTGCACCATGGACCAGCAAATACCTAAACTCTCTGACTGTATACAAGGCACATAGCACATGACAGAACTAATACTTTCAATATTCTCCTTCAGGTAAGCCCAGAAGGAGAGGACATCAACTACACTGTAATTTCCTGTTACAAAGAAGTGAAACAAGGAACATCCAGAAGCAGAGAAAGCTTGGCTTTCTCTGGAAAGAAGGTTAAACAGTACTCTGAGGCCCTCCCCTCAGCTTTTTAGTTCAGACCACCCACCCAAATAAGAGGTTCAGCAATGAATCTGGACAAGCAGGGCAGATTTTGCCCACTCAGTAATTTCTTGTTTATTGCTGCCACTCACAGGCTCCAGGAAACTTACCAGGTGATACAAATTAACAAGAATTAGCTGCTGACAGCATCTTTAGCCTTTTCTTCCCTAGACTGCCCTCTAGGACAGTTGATTCAGATCAACTTGAGAGAACAAGTTTCTGCTGAAGGGAAGAGAGCATGGACTCAAATGGATACCTGTATTAAGGACACCCATCATCTTCCTCCCCCTAAATAAACAGAGGTACAAAAATGGTTACACTCTTAAGGACTACTCTGACCTGTGACCACATGAGGGCTACAATCAGAGAGTACCTAAGTCACAGATCTGAACTGCTCACATCAGTTCTGACTCCTTGCATCCCTTACAGTCAGACTACATCTGAAGACTGAAGATTCTTTCCACATGACCTTAAACTACAGCTTCCTCCTGTGCCACAAGGCAGACTTATCACAGTGCTCAATCTCATTCTTCAAACACAACTTTAACTTTCTCCTGCTGCTGTTCCTTCAGCTGGACACAGAAAAGATCACTTTCTCAGAGTACAGCATGTCCTTTCTGCCTCACAAGATGTATGGCTTCACTGGCTAGCTTCTTCAGAGCAAATCTCACTGTTAAAACTCTGACACCATCACCCCATCTTCTCAAGTTGAATAAACATCTTTCTGCTTTTTCTTTATTACAGATCTCCATAGATGAAAAGCTCCCTGGAAAACAGTCACTAATCTCTCATTTTCCAGAACAGTCTTTTCACATTCCCCAGAGTACTGTAATAAGAGAAGATCCTTGTGCATCAAAACCACGGCTTGCCATGCAAATACTGCCACTGTTCTCTTACGCTGTGTGTGCCTGCACTTGTTTTTCCTTACATTTACGGTCAGTAAGGGGAGAGTGTTCATGCATACTCAGAAAAAGAGGGTTTTGGCTCATGAGGAGAGCTCAAGGCACTGTGGTAAGAAATATCCATACACAATACAGTCTTAAGTCTTGTTCCTGAAAATGAAAGTTTCAAAGATGTGTCACATTACGAGCATTTGGGACTTCTGGATAAAGACTGATTTAAGATATTTGTGTTTTATCTCTACAGCAATATAAAAATATATAATACTGAGGGAAATTACTATGGAAACACGAGTGTTTAGGAGAACATTTGTTTCTGTTTATTCCTTGCTCCAAGTAAGAAGTCCTACAACTATGGTATCTTAGTAGACAATAAAAAGTCAAGACAGGAAAACAGACTGGGCTTTTTTTCTTTCCTTCAAATACACAACATATAAATTATTTCAAGAGATATCCAAAAATGGAAACAGATGAAGGAGTCTCTCTACATTAGCATTCTCAGCTCAGCCTGCTAACAGCTGAAACTGCCTACCCTGCCCCTAGCACTAGGTCTTATTCTAACTTCAAAACAGAAAGCTACTTCAGTGATTAAGACCAGAATTTGCCTGCTTAATGGGGAGCTATGTTTGTAGCATGCTATCACACCCACTGGTCTACTCCCAATATAAAGCTTCACAATAAACATAGTCTCATTACACTTTAAGACATGCAACTGCTTTCAGAATTGGCTGTGACAAAAACCTTGTGTAACACTATCAAGTCCACCTATATAAGTTACTAACTTAAAGAGAAAAAGCAAGTAGGAAATTGCATACATAGTTTTGGTATTTCGAGGGTTTGCTTCAAAGGATTTTAATCCACTCGTTTGACAGCTAATAGACAATTGCTACTCAAAACTGTGAAACTATACTAGAACTCTACCCTCAGATGTGCCCTGACACGACATCTCCTCACTTACCCATCCATTTCATGTTACAAGATCTTTACAATGTATCAGGAGCAGCAGCAGGAATCCACAGGTGGTTTCTTACCAACTCCCATTCCCACACCTCCCCACCAATTCCTATCTCAAAGAATCCCAGATGCACTACATCAGATACCCATCCTAGCTGTCTAAGCTATTTTTTCCCCCCATTAACACACACTCCTAACGTACACCAAACACTAAAACAGAAGGCTTGTATTTACATTCAGTTAGAAAAAGTTTTGTTACCATACCTGCTCCATGCCTTTACTGTACAAGTCTTTTGCTCCTGCCACAGCAGCAAGATTATTTGCCTCAGCTGTTGCCTAGAAAACATTGAGAACCACATATCACTATAGCACTACCAGCTAGTTATACACACGTATCTGCACCGTCCAAAATATCCCAGCAACCACCACCAAACATAAAGATTGCCAAGAAAATGCCCCACACAAACAAGTGAGGGTTGGACACATACATTAAGACACATTATGGACTAGGAGAAGGGTTTTCTCAGCTAATACAACTCTGGACAAACTCCCATGTGCTTGTACAGGCTTGTTACTGTGAGAATCTCTACTGTTAGAAAGCAAATAAGAGTCTCTAAACTACTGAACATTAATCCTGACACATCATTGCCTGTGAGGAAAGCTGCAAACTGGTATTATTTCTGCACTGTGTATGTGCAGTTTTGGTGTCAATCTGTAAGAACTTATACTACTTTCAAACTGTATCGCATCAGGGACAGTTATTCTGGCTCATACTGCAAGATGTCATCATCTTTACCTCTCAGTCACATTTATAGCATGTTAATTAGAGGACATGGTAACCACCTTTGTTTCATTGTGAAAAGTTCTCAAACACCCACTCTCCCCAAAAGTCTCAAAAATTGGTTCCTCAACTATTCCAGGTTATTGACTTGCCCTCCATGTCTTAATGAACTGACACTAAAAGCTTAATTTTAACCATTTCACGTGTGTAATATTTTTTAACTGGCTCTAGAGTCCGTACTTAAAGAAGAAGACTTCATCACAAAATCTAAGTGTTCATCACATAGCTTTATACAATCACTACATCTTCAAGTTATTTTACAGCTGATTACATCCTCTTTAGATCAACACAGAAAGGAAAGTTCAGTGTAGTTACCTGATCTTTGCTGCACATGTTTGTTTGTTAGGAGCCCAACACTGTGAGACAGTAGTATTAGCTGCACTACTATAATCTTTCTCCATTTTGTTTACTAAGGCTGACACTAAAAGCCCTCTGAATACTGTCTGAAAGACACTAACAGAAGAGCAAGTTATTAAAGGAAACTTATGCCTGAAATTGAAGCAGCTAAAAAAAAGAAATAATGCCCCCTGCTTCATTTGCTTTCAAAGCACACAGTTCCTTCAAGAACTACAAATGAGTGTGTGGAAGCTTCACATTCCCAAGGGTCATGACCAGAACTTATGAAATACACATCTTCTATCAAATACCTGCAGCATAGACTTCGGATGAGGTAGCTCCTCTCCTTGATAGATTTTAATGTAAGCCTAGAATGAAAAAGAAAAGGTTTCTTATTTCTTAAGCATATGTGGGTGAGAGGGAAAAAGACATTATATAGAGACAGAGCTCATGAATTACTACTTTGTCATAATGCTAAATACTCAAACAAGTTTCTCCATACATAGAAATCTGTCACTTGCCCATTTATCCCTAGTGCTTTAACCCCTTTACATTTCAGAAGCCTAACATGAATCTCCAGTTATAGCAAATTGAAGCAGTACTTTCTTTTAACAAAGCATTTCAAGTAACATGCTTTTACTGGTATTAAAAATAAGCTGCTCATCTCTATCAAAATGGTTCTCTTTCAATAGCCACTGGCAAGCTTTCTTAACATGCAAGCACCAATAAACTATGAAGTTTAATTGTACTTCTTTTTTTACCCTCTTTGGTAGCTATTACTTTAGTAGCTATTTCCTCCAACTAAAAATAGTCAGGTTTCAACTCAGAGTTCACGATTTCAGCTTTAGATCCAGACCAGGGAACACTTTTCCCCAGTTATACAGTGTATCCACAGCACCCTGCACAACCATTCCCAGACTGGCTACTGCAACATGAATTAGACTGCTTTTCAATAGCCAAGGTTTCGTGCACTCCTTTTCAAACTGCCATTGAATATGTACTTTCTGCATCATGTGGGATCAAGCCTTACTAAAGAAGAAAACAGAGCAAATGATATACAACCATGTGAACACCAAGAGACTGAGCACACCAGCTTCAGAGTAGATTTTATGCTTGTCAGAGCAATGAGTCTGCATCCCACATCATGCCTTCCATAAAGCATCTTCTTCTAAGCATACATAAAGCAACATCTACGTGTTAGAGTTCTGGTCTCAGATTCCACTCCACATAGGTACTTCCATAACACCAGCTTGCCTTCAACATGCGTGCTCAGAAGTAGTAATGTAAAATTCACATCATTAGGGATGCTGCTTTCTCATACAAAGCCAGTTATGTCTTTCCAATTCAAAAAGAGCTGCAAACCAGACCAATTCCTGGTGATGTCAGAATTATGACATCACGTTACTACTGATGTCATCATGATATCAGAACAGCTTAAGAGTTTAATAGCTGCAAGTAACCAAGAATTTTATAGCACACAATGGTGTAACACGTGAGTGTAAGAAAGCATATTCCTTGCATATTGCAAATTTGGAGGGATAGAAAATAAGATGAGATTTTTTATTGCACACTTAGAAGCTTAAGAGCTAGATTTCTACCTGTCAGTGAGAGCCTAAAAAAAACACCCACCCACATAAATCTAGACAAACTAGATTCTCAAAATAGTAAAAACAAAGAAAAAAATCTCTATCTAATAGAACTTAAAGTATTTTAGCTTATTACAAAAAAAAATTGCTAACAGCAGATTGCAAAAAGCTGTTTTGTTAAGCTGTGTGCCAGTTCTGGAAAGTCAGAATAATGAAATGAAAGTAAAACTGAGATGATCAGTGGATGTCAGCCTAGATACCTTTATCTTCTCTGGGAACAAGATATCCTAAAATTAGAATATTTTCTTTTAAGCCATTAACAAAAATAATTAGCATGAGTTTGCTTACCTTGAAGTATTCTACAAGATCTCTACAGGTCACCTTGGATCCACTAATCTCTTTTTCTACCAAGTTTTCAGGGGCAAGCAGTAATGGTACCAAATTCCGCAGCTCTTTCTTAAAATCCTCATCTATATCTGGAAAAATTCAGTTTCAGAAAACAATCATTAGTTTTCTTTTTCAATCTTATATTTCTTAAAGGAGCACTGATAACCCATAACCCTTAACCCTTCAAAATAGGGACACAACTGCTTTTTTTTTTTTTTCCAAGTCTTAAATACATGCTATGCCTCCATTAAGTTCTATTTACTCCCGAAAGCTTGAATTCAAACAGAAAACCGAGTCCTGTAGTCCTGGTAATATTTAAAGTACATTTCCCAATTACACCAGTCTCTTACACAACCTACAGGTTGTCTATGCCTTCAGCACAGAACTAGTCAGCATCCCACTAATGCACAATCATACTTTTAGTCTTTGCCACTCTGACACATTCTCTCTACTGGGAGAAGCACAATAATGAAGAAATGCTAGCTGCCTCCCATTCCACAGTGGCAAAATCCTACAGTTATTTTACAGTCATTCTGGTTTTGACCTTTGCATTTAGCGAGTTCTTAAAGAAAAGCCTTTCAATATTAAGAAAAGTTAAGTCTTTTAATTTTACAAATCTCATGTCTGCAGTCTTTTTTTTTTTAGAATCCTATTTAATGACATTTAGGTATGTCTCAGGTTAATCAACACTACAGTCAACATCTAGATGCAAAGAAAGATACCCGTTCCCTTTAAATTCATAACAACACACAATACATGTTTTTAGATTCCATCATTTCACCTTTTAGTCCCACATTTTTCCAATCAAACATTTCAATGGCCAACTATTTCAGTGTTAAACTTTCATGACAAAAGTAATTCAGTGATCTGAATAAAAGAACACACAATAGAGATTTTCTTACCATTTAATCTCCCATCAAAATTTGGATTTGTTGCAACTTTAAGACCAGGGTGGGGCAACAGGAAACAGCCAAGGTTACTGAAACAGGAGTGAATATGCTTCCTTACATTCTGTAGCTCTTCATGTTGGTTTTGCTTTACCTTAAAAAAAAAAAAAAAAGCATTAAGAACTGCTAACAGTTTCGCAGCACTGCAAGAAAGATTGAATATCAGTTTAAAAGCAGTAAGATCACAGGACTATGTTTAAACTTTCATTCTTGAACCTAAAAATGTAGAGTTTTAAATACCAGAACTCTATACAAATGGAAAAGCACCAAGAGCTAGTTCATCATGCATCACTATCTTGACAGTGAGGTGTCACTTACGCCAGACCATGATACTAGGACTACTGGAAAAAATTTACCTGCAACCTTTTCTCTAGGAACTTTTTTCCTCCTTCCAAGCCATATGCATGCTCATAAGGGTAACTCCAATCTCTAATTAAGAACATTAGTGTCTGTAACAGGAAGAACAGTGGTTAATGCTTTGTATCATTCCCGAAGTCAAGAACTATGACACATGATTATTTTAAGATTAAAAAGTCTAAAACTTGGCTACTGTGAATGAATTAGCCTTATACCTTTAGTGTTGCAAGTAGTTACTTGTTTAAAAGACACGGCACACCAACACACATACAACTGCAACTGATTTCTTATCCGAAAAGAAGCATTTCAGCATCTCAAAAAAGATAGCTTCTCTTTTTCATGGATTTATTTTTTGCTACCTCTGAGGGATTACATGGTCCATCCTTCTATTTATTAGCTGAAGATACAGAACTAATCTTCATGTTAGCCTTGTATTAGATGAGGTGCTTTTAAAGGCTCCATTTTACCTGCGCCAATCACAAAAACGCGAAGGACTCACACTTGTAGACTGAATATTCTAGAGACACAAGTTGTAAAAACTCACAACTAGTACCTTTACATGTTCAGAAGGATCATTTGATAATTCAGATTAAAAGGAATCTCAGACTTCCGTAAGAAGCCTCAAACCTTTCTCTAGATTAGCCAATAGTCAGAGGAAGTTAGCAATCTAGAGAACTCAAACACTAACATCACTGATGCTTTAATTAAACCAAACATAATATGGCCCTCAACAGTATTTCAAAGCCATATGACCTATACTCATAAACATACACCAAAGACCAACCACAACTCAAGAAGTAAACGACTAGGAAGGAAAAATGAAACTTCTCCTTAAAGTCAGCACATGACTTGACTTTCATACCCTCTATGCTTAAGCTCATCTTGTAAAGATGAGACTAGCTTCAGGCAAACTAACTTATCTTCATAACTTATCCCGAGCTCATTTTCTACACATTCAATTGCTCACAACACATTTAACATGTACACTTACTTGAAACGGCTTTTGGTAAATTTCTTCCATTGCTAGTCTTCCATATTCTGTAAACAACTGATAGAAAGAGCGTAAGAGTGCCACACATAAAACAGTTTTCTACTGTATCAACTCACTATGTCACATTACGTCACTAATAAATAAAGCATTCAATCTTAAATCCCATTATGGCTTTAAAATGGCCAGTGCAGCTCAAGAACAAGCACATCAACCTTCCGTAAAACTCAGGAAGGAGACAGTTTCCACTGGTTTCACAGTGCCACACCAGAACTGTCATGACACTGCAGCTCAAAGTGGGCAGCCTGCAGGCTGTTCTCAGAGGAAAGCTGACCAGGTCTCCAGCCAGTTTCCAACGCTTGTCAGCAAGGCTAAGGAGGTAAGCCTGCCTAACACTTGTCCCTTACCTACACAAAAGATTTATTCCTCAGAATTTCAAGGAACTTGCCTAGACCTAAAGTAGCAGACTTTCAAATACAAGTCAAGTTCAGCAGCTTCCCAGATCTCTACTTCAGCCTGTGATCTTGACTCGTCATTTTTCTTACTCTTCAGCATAAAATGAAGTGTTAACTGTCTTTCTCTGGTTACTTTCACCATCTTTAATGCTAAAAGCAGCATTCTTCCTCTCCATGTTAAGTGGGCCAGCAAACTCATGAGAACACAAGTCACATGCTGGCTGTTTCAGCAGAGCTTAATGCTCAGATGTGGCTTTCTACTAGCCCTTTTTCTATGAGAAGATGAAGGAAGCATGCCAGTACCCTCTATAATCAGGCAACTGTTCCTCTGCATTAAAGCTAATCTCTCTGCCACCTCAGGAAAAAAAAAATCTTACGTGAACAATTTTCCCTTTGTCAGAAGAACATCTGAGAACTTACAAGACAAACTTAATACAAGCGAACTTCCAAGTCCCTGTCATCCTGAGCATAAAGCTTTGCAGAGGCCAAGCATCCATGTGAGAATGGCTTGTTTCTGTGATCTGAACCGCCCACTGCTCTCACCTCCCTGCTACATGAAAAAGACAGTATTTCAGACTAGCATGTTTCCTTCCCTCAGCCCACGACACCTTGTCCCCAACTTTAGTGGGTAGGGAATGCCTGTACATTTGCTTCTTTTTAATTGCATTTCCCTCAAATCTCACTACTCACTGTAACACAGATTTATCTATTCTGACTACACTGAAGTTGTTATTAGTAAATTACTGAAAAGCCAGACTTTCCTGATGCTTTTTGTTTGCTTGGAAATGTGGTTTTTTTTGTTTTGTTTTTTTGTTTTGTTTTGTTTTGTTTTTTTGTTTTTTTGGGGGTTTTTTTTGTTTTTTTTTTTTTTTACAGGGTTTGTATTGTGGACTCTGGAGTTTTTTTGGTCATTTTTCTTTCCTTTCTTAGGCATACCACTCTTAAATGAGAACAGAATCAGAAGACTATGTTCAGTTAATTCACTTCTACTCCCAGCACTGGAAACCAGTCTTCCACAGCACTGAACAAGACAGAAGTCCTTTCAATCAGATGATATAAAAAATAATCAAGCTGTGACAAGGTCACGACCTGAGCACAAGCAGACATAAGTTGATACAAAACTGCTTTTGAAGCTACAGGTTTTAAGTTAAGGACATAAAGCTCTTGTTGAAAATCTCACAGGAGAAAGTGGACAACTCTTTTATGATTTTTGTTTCCAGATAGAATCTGACTCTCTAGAAGTTGCTCAGTTGAAAAACTAGAAAAGGTTTCCAGGCAGCAGATGCCATTTCTTCTCCAAGTCACGTTCCCAAATTTCAGTAGAAACCGGATATGAAACACTGTCAATTTTCTAATATTAGGGTAAAAAGAAGAAATACTGGAAACTTTTCACTAAGTGCTTTCAGGAATTATTTCCCATTCTAATCCTTTCAGGAATTTTGGCATTTCCTGTATATATAGAGAACAGACTTTAGGAAGACTCTACCAAATGAGAAGTTTATGCTATATTACTCTTATGCTGTCAAAGAGGAAACATCACAACATCACGGAGTTGCTGCCTATAAAAACATTATTTACATCATTAGTTTTAGCATTACATCATTAGTTTTAGCATCAGGTCAGATTCAGTGTTTGCACTAAGTACAAAGCAGCTACCAAGTCACAGTTCTATCAGTAGTAAATTCAGGAACAATTTCAAGATTGTTGACTCAGACATAGCTTAATATAAGTTCCATATATTCTTACCTGCAAATGCTGAAGGTCATCTTCCTGAATATTCTGGGACAAGTTGTATACCTAAAAGGAACAGTAAAGAAATTAAAACATAACTTGAAACCATTATCTTTTATGTAGGTTCCTTTAGACCTCGAGTATTTTCACCACCTCCAGAAACATCCAACTATCCAAAAGCCAGTGTCGAGAACCATTCAAAGAAAACATTCCAAGAAAAGTCACTACCTTTATCTAGAGGTAATGACAAAAAAAGAAATCACTGCTGACTATCCTAATCCTTCTTAGAACATCCTCTTTCCAAGGAAGCAAGTCATAAAGAAATCTAGAAAGAATGCTGGAATGCCTCTAATTACAGCACAGTGGTGAGAGGGAAAGACTAAGATGGGCATGTCCACCTGCTGTTCTCAAGTTTAAGTGCTCCAGTGGCTTCACCTCTATTTTAAAAACAGCTGGACAGATGGTTCACCAGCCCTTTTTGCTCTCAAATGTTTCAAAAAAAAATCTGACTTTCCAGAGAGCTTATAATTGCTCCAATGACATCAATACTGAAGAGCACTTAACTCAAATGTATCAGTGATCCACACCTTATCCTAACAATAGGAACAAAGGGGTGGAGGTCAGGGTTCCACATCCTCCATTTACTTTGATGTTTTTAATATCAGTAGCTGTACCTTTAAGAGACTGCAGTGTAATTTCACCCTAAGCTGTATTATCTAAAGTCTTAAAGGTTCTCCACTCTATCAGTACAGGAGTGGTTGTTACTATGACGTTTTTGTTTGGGATTTACCAGTTCACTCAGCAATTTAACCCAGCCTGGTCTTGGATATCTTCAGTTGGAATCAAGGTTATATACTTTGCAATACTGCAGATGGGCTGTTAGGTATGAAAGCATACATAATAACTGGAGGAAAATGTGCAGGTGAACTTCCTAAGCATAGCTAAAAGGAAACTGCAGACTCGGGCAAGAGGGTTCCTATAGCTGCCACTATTTGCCAGCACAGGTATTCTCACCTGGACAGAACTTGTCATGGTGCTCAGGGCAAAAACCGTTGCACAGTCTTTGATAGTGGATTGGCTATCAAAGGCACCTTGGGTATCCATGAGTAGTACAGCAACCTAGAGATTTTTGAAGAGCAGCAACAGTTAACCAAGTTGTAACAGTTTCAAACTCCAGGTCATTGGGGTAAATTCTGTTTACAGTACAGTATTGTTTCTGCTTCCACACCTGCTTATTAAAGCCTCAACTGATTTCCTGTACAAACATTTATATATACCTACAGATTAGCAAGCAGCAACTACATAAATGCATCAGCCTTACATCCTTGGTCTTGCTACACTATTCATCCTCTCCCACAGAAATAACATCCCTCAGCCCAGTTAGAGGGAAAGGTAGCTCTTAAATCACTGTAGAAATATCAATCTCAGCTGACAATCCAATACAGCTTATCAAAGCTAAGTATGAGATGGTTCCTTTAAAAGACAGACAGACAGATGTCTTAAACTAATTATTTTCAAAAGAAAGCTAGACAAATGGCACTGACCATCTGCTGAAGTGACATAGAAATGAAGTAGTCTTAATGATAAGAATTAATCTGCCCAATACCCATCTTTGGAATCTAGTACAACTCCCTTTTTTCTTTCAGTCACAGACAACAAAAAAGCAATAACAAATAAGTTTGTTTTTTGGGTTTTTTTTTTTTTTCCAGAGCACTAACAGATCCTCACAATTCAACTGCTTTTCAGATAGAGAATTGTTTGGTTAGCTCTAGAACATGGTAAAACCTCCTGCAGCCCTCTAAATTATTAGCTGTTTAAGATCAGTGTCCCATACTAATTAATCATCAGATGTTCCCATTGCACTTTGGCAATGTAAGGACTATGATAGTTAAGTAAGAGTTTACAGTTCAGGAGAACAGGAGAATACAGTGCTGATGTTAGGAAGTAAATAGTCTCAATGTTGTCAGTAAATGTTTCAGCACGAAAACAAACATCTGAAATCAAACTCTGTAATTACAGCAATTGAGAGTTCAAAGGTGCACCAGTTTTGATAAGTATACTTAGCATATGAAGTATTTACCACAAGTAGATGTGCTTTTTCTTTTTATGAGCCAGCTGTTGAACTGTGCAGAGCAACCAGCTTCTGGTCACTGAAGCTGCATTTCTAGTGCTTACAACTACATGTTGCCAGAACAGTTACAAGCCAGAGCACATCTCAACTCAAAAAGCACTATTTGTTAGAGCTGCTCTTATCACAGCACTTGTCTATACACAGTACTTATAACCAACATAGTTTTAAAGCATTCACAGGATAACCCACCCATCAGCCTGGACAAAACAAACTTCAAACTAATTTCAAAATGGACTATTGTTGAAGATTGAATACCAGCAGGAAAACACACACCTGCACTGATATAAGGTTTCCAAATGCATTATACAGCCAGTGAATAGAAAGGAACCAACTGATGTTTGAACTGCCTCCACAAAACCCATGGCATTAAAACTCTTCACCCAGAGGCAAAAAAAAAAATATATCACTAAATACATCTGTTTAAGTCAAGCACTTACCTTTGTTCCATTGGGTCTATCAATTACAAACACTTCACTCCAGATCTGGATGCCAGTGGTTTCCCGTTCACATCCACCTCTCCATGTAAACCCAGTCAAAGGCTCAGTGTTTCCACCTATCCAGCAAGGAGAAGTCTATAAAACAAGAAGAAAATCTTATTTAACACCAAGAAAGAGTTTTTTTCTTGTTCCAAGTATGTTTTAACAGACTTTCATATCGTTCTTTCATTTCTGTCAAAGCTGAATAGCAACATTACATTAAGGATTAAAAACCACAATGCGACTCAACTGTACATTGTAGATGATAAAAAAAATTTGCTTTGTGGTCCATTGTATTTCAGCAGTTGCCCAGATCTTTATCCACTGAAGAGTGCACATGCATAACTTTCAAGTCTCACTGCTAGCTCTAAGTGCTTGAGAACAGCTCAGTTTCATACATCAATTCCACTTTGCCTGACTCTCTCTTTCCAAGACAGTTATAAACACCATATTTTGTAACTACAGAAATAGCTGAACCTCTGCAAGGAACAGAACTAATTTCAACTTGATCCTCCCCCTTGCAAACTGGTCAACTGCCAAAATTAAATAAGCATCTAAACCCCTGCACTAACAGAGACAAAAGTCAAGAATCCCACTTGCTGAAGTCAAAAAGAAAGCACAAGGATTAGAGGATTCCTATACATCAGGCACAGAAAGTACTTTTCCCAAGGATTCACCTTACAAGGTAAAATAGAGATCCTGATATGTACCAATCAACACACGCATGTTACAAGCTCACAGGCCAAGTCTCCCGCTTTGGGAAAGGCTGCTGGGCAGTCAAATACAGTCTGAAGGTAACAGGTCTGGCTGCTGATACGGTAGCAAGGTCTTCAGTCCTCAAGGACTGGCAATGAATGGAGCACTGGCTCACACAGAAGATTCCAGACATGACGTGAACAGATTTAGCCTGCAAAAGCAGCTTACGTACTGGGGAAGTAAGGAAACATGAACAGGCATTCTAAGGAACTTCAACTGTGATAGATTACACACTGAAATTCTGGAAAAGCAGGAAGCAAATTTTTAAGTGAAGAGGAAGCTTAGGGAAAAGCCTTTATAACACAGAAACAGATTTTCAATGAATTTGCCTCTGAGCACCCAGAGAATATCATAAGCAAGATAAGTGTGCTCATAAAGGAGGTCAAAGAAGCATCTCCTCCACTTACTAAGCTATGGCCTAACTTGCTAACTCCACAGTGAATCTTCTCAGAATAGCTCACAACAGACTTCTTCACATCAGAGAACATCCCATGGCACTCAGAAGGCTGTACATACAGAAATATTTGCTATGGATAAATAAAACTATTTCAAAAGGAGGAGGAGAAAAAACCATGTTTCATACGTACTACTGTTACTTTCTGCAGAGAGAACCTATGTGCTAAAAGAAAAAGTCAATTAAGCAATTCTGCATCAGCATACTCCCGAGCTTAGTGCACACCATTCATCTTTGCTACTTGGATCACATATAGCAAAAGCAAATTAAATGAGCAGATTAAAAAAAATACAGAAGATGTATTCACCTAAGGAAAGCAAACAACTGCTCTTTATAGGCATTTTTGTCTTTGTTTTTAACACACACATACCCAAAACCAATGAGAAGAAGCACAACACAAGAGTATTCCCTGGAAGCTTTGTTATTTTTGAGGTTTTGTTGGTTTGTATCCCACAATTACACACCCACTGACCATTGCAGAAATCAAAGTTCCATGCCTGCTTTAGGACTCAGTACACCCCAAGACATAACCCTGCAATGCTGAATCAGATTTCACAGACGTACTGTAGCAGACTGTAACTTTGCACTTTTTTCAAAAGAAGCTGTTATGTAATTCATCAATATAATTCATCACTTAAGAGGAAGAATACTTTTTCCCAATTTAGTCCAGAAATATATTGCTCTATGCACAGAAACTCAGACCAAAACTACCTGAAGTTTTGACAAGTATCTCAGTGACAACTGCATATAATCACTTTTTATTTCATGTGATTCATGCAACTTTGGTGTCTTAATAAGCAGAAGTTCAGCTCAAGCTGCTTCACGCTATAGGTGATGCAGACAAAGCCTGGGTCTGACTCTGAGCTTTGCATTACTATGAAGCATTCCTAGCTTACCTCTCTTTTCCAGGGAAACAATGTTTTAACAACCTTCATCCACTAAGCTGGCTTTTGGAAGGCTTTGCTCCTACAGGAAATCAAACTGTAAGAAGCACCACAATACTGTATTAATCTCTCTAAACATATTTCATATCAAAGAAAGGTCCAATGCAGCTTTATTTCGTTAGTGCCATCAACGTGAGGTGCATCTTGCAGATTAATACAAGCTAAGGTCACACCTCTAAATAAAGAAAAAGCTTTCCAATTTAAATTTATTAGTTACTACACCCAACTCTTTATAAGGCTCATTATGTAGAGATCACAGGATCACTGCAGCAGCTTTATTGAACACATACTACTGCTATTCAGTAGCAGATCCTGTTCATTTCAAATAATGAATGATAACATTAATTATCACTGCTTGAAATGAGATGCCCATTCTCCCTGAAGTCAGCAACCAGTTTCAGACTTTTAAAACTCCTACCTTTGACTTCAGCAGCACAAGTTAAATTTTTAGAATCTTCTCACATGACTCCTAGCTCTTGGTCTTAGACAAGAAAATGGGATGTCAAAGTTATCTTAGCAAGATTTTCATGTACTTTAACATCAGTGGAACAGAATATCCCAGAATTGCTTGATTTGCGTATGAATCGAACACAGATGCACTGGTATTTTGTGCAAAGGCCAACATTCAGTTCACAGTAAATACAGGCTCTAATAACATTAGAGAGATCACAATTAAGAGTATTATAAAGGTCCACCAAGACCTCCCCTCCTGTACCAATATTTGTGTAAGCATAGATGACACCACCTGACTTAAAATTCAGCAGGCTCAGAAGTAGAGGCACTGCACTAATCTTTTCTCATCCCCAACTTCTATTATTCAAGTTTGAAGCTGCTCTTATGCTTGTCATACTCTTCCCCAAAGCCAGTTTACGTCACTGAGCTGGCAGGAAACAATTTAGCAAAGTGCAGCATCTTCTGATGCACCCATGAGCACAATCAGCTCAGCTAAGGGCCTGCAAGCATTACAGCTTGAGAACACAAATGCCTGGCCAAAAGCAATGCATGGAGAGCAAAACCTCCTCTTTTTAGGGAAGAGATAGCTGTTACACCAAATGGCTGAGCTTGTCCTTCAAAATGCCATTTGTTGACATCTATAGAGAACTGAAAAGGGCTTCTTTCTCTTTCTTTCTTGTTTCTCTTTCTTTCTTGTTCAGCCTGGAGAAAAGAAGGCTGCAGGGTGACCTCATTGCAGCCTTTCAGTACCTAAAGGGAGCC